GGATGAGAAGCGTTGGGGAGGTCTTCAGGATCAACCACGAGTCTACTATGGGGGAAAACTAAGTTTAATTTTCTTTCCAACTCTTGCTGAGAGATTAATAAGAATTCTTCGTAGGAATCAAGATCAGTTAAAATCATTGCAAAAGGTTTTACAGTCCTAAAATGATAAAAAAATAACTTACAGGCAATTCTTGCAGCCACGCTAGCTACAAGCGCCTATTTATGCTGAACGTCTTGAATTTGTAATGTTTTCCCCCCTTATTCTCTGTTTGTTTTTTCTTCTTGTCTTTTCCGGGTTTTTAATCGGTCAAAGTATGAATTGTAGCTACAATGTACAAGTTCTCACATTTGTCTTATTAACGGAAAAATAACAAAACGTTTCCTCTTTGCGGGATACTTTGGAACCACCCCCTCTCCACCTCCGACCTTAATTAGCGACGAAAGACATTGTACCTTTTTTATTTGCCTTTTCACGCGAAGAGATATCCCGGCCCTATCGCAATCGATGGAGTGGGAAAATCTTTATCAGTAAAACAATTCTCTTATACGCCATTTATCGCGATTCTTTATTCAATAAGCCGCCCATAACACGTGCTAACACAAAGAGAGAATCAACAAAGAGAGGATTGAAAACAAAACTGATTAATATTCGAATAAAACGCGACTCTTGATAATACTGTCAGTGGTTAAGGATAGAAGGAAAAGGAAGAAAAAATGGCGGAGAAATAAAATTAGTGTATCGTCCAGAAAAATTACGAAAAAAAATTTTATTGTTTGGCAAACAAGATCATAGCAAAGTAATAAGTTAATGAACATTGATTGACTACTATGATCAAATTCTGGTTATTAAGTTGTTCACAACTTAATTGCTAAAGAAAACTGATAACTTTTTCTTTTCTTGATCCCAAGCTGTTGTATCTTAGCTGACATCTTTTTCTGATCCGGACAAAATTGGTCAATAACCAATCAGCTTTCAAATTAAAAATTTGAAAATGAGAAACTTTGCCGTGGTTGAACAGCTTGAAAAAGACCCGTCAATGAAGTGATATTGATTCTTTATCCTAAAATCTAAACGCAGGAAATTCGTAGCTTCTATCTTTCACGAAAACAGAGTTTTATTGCCATTTTTCTGCTTATAAATCTGCTTGAACGGTATGAAGTAAGCCGATTGCGTTGTTGCTGGGGAACCCGGAAGGCTGTGTTAAGTAAAGGTAAGTCATTTCTGTTAAAAGCTCAACGAAATGTTGTAGGGAACACTAAAGAAGTGTTACAATCGATATTCAAAAGCTGTCAGCCATCGCTGCTTTGATCATGGTATTCAAAACATTAGAAATGAATAAAGCAAGATTGAGGAATAGGAAAACATTGCGATTGCATAACACTCCCTTCCCCGGTATACGGGTTAGCCCTCTGTTGTGTTGTGGTTCAATTTTATCCTTGGTTTAAAAACTATTTCCCCTTTGTTTTAGTGGATGGTAATGTATAACAATGAGTTTGAAACAAAATAAAATTAAAACCAAGGATAGAATTGAGTCACAACATGATACAGAGGCTCTCATTCAAGAGCAATCGGAATGCCATTTCATGTCATTTTAATTTGCGGGATCGAGAATTGAAGCCCAGACTTAGCAGTTCCGTCAAAATTTTGTGTGTAACCTCTAAAAGCGTTTGTTTTTCAAAGCATCCTTATGTTTGCCGTATGGTTTGGTAAACATGATTTTCACGAAACGCTTGACGATGCTAGTTGATCAGAGTACAGTCAGTTTTTGCGACAGTCTTTTCACAAGTTTCTTAGAGAGTATAAAGCGAGGAACGAATTAGTAAATTGAAAGTTGCCGTTAATCAAATGCTGCAATTGTACATCAATAAGCTGTATATATCTTTTTCCTCCTGTTTCACTTATTATACGCTAGTCAAGAAATCGAAAGGAACTTCTAACATTAAGTGTGGCCTTCAACAGTAGTAAGCTGTGCCCAGCATTTCTCTACGTTTTTTTGTTTCTTTCTTTCTTACACTAGAAAATAGTCCGGCAAAGCAAAAAAAAAATACATATCGACACTTTTTACAGTTTTGCGCCAAAACATGTGACCCGCGATATATGACGATAAACCAGCGGCACTCGTTCTGATAATTACATAAGTGCTCGCCTCCGCGCGCAATATGGCGGTATTTGTTTGTATCCCTTTCAAATAATGAAGGCTAAAAGATATATTAATCAGGTGGAAAACGCTGTCTTTTATTTAGATAATACAAACAAAATGCAACTTGCATATTAATGTATTATAACTGGGATGAATACACTTCAATTTTTTAGTGTCCCTAAGTGCTTTTTTTTAATCGAGGAGAAACTTTTAAAGGCAATAGACATTGAGAAACGTTGACTAATCCCTACTCTTCCTATATTTCGAATTTGAAAACTCAGCTAAGAGTTATGCTATCCAACTTCATTTTGTCGTCGACTGTAGATATTATCACTTATCTCTTGTATAATTATGTTTTTTTTTTAACTTTTGCCGCCACAGAAACCTATTTTAGAAAGACAACATGAATTTAACACCAGTCTTGGTCGCTGCCTTAACAGTTCTTTTCATTGTAACTCAACGTGGAGAAGGGTTTATACGGGAAGGAAGGACCCTTCATATGAGAAGAAAAGGAGAACTTTTTAGGCCAAGTTTTTTCAAAAGAGGACAGGTTCCAACCGAGAAGCGAGACTTTTTTGATGGATATTTATTTCAATTGATTAGAGGTGAGAGTTGTCCGGCAAAGCTTGTGAAAAAGTTATACAACAACGTGACATTAATTTTTGACAGTTGTTGGTTGTAAATGCAGTGTACTGTCATCATAGCGGACACTGTAGGGACCTCGAGTTAGTCTCCACATTAGCGAGAGTCTGTAATAGTAGGAGTTTATTTCCGTCAAATCCCTGTAATTTATTTGGCCTGGGATTTATCTGCTGTCCGTATATTATCAGGGTGTCTGTTATATCGGGGTGTCCATAAGGCGTGAGTTGACTGTAGTATATCAACTGCAGCTCAAGATCAGTCTGAATCCAAGCTCCAATATCAAAACATAAATTCTCCAGACTGCTCACCAAACATTTTCTTCATGACTAGTTGAGAGAATTTGATAAAAGATCAAAGCATTTTTCTTTGTTGATCAGTTGATAAATTCTCATAACTTTTTCTCTAAATAACGAATAAGTGTTTTTAGGAGAAAATTGATGTTGGTCACTCTTGCGACTTAAAGGGCACCAATTAAGGTGTCTGGGAAACTGCCTACCTACCCCTCCCCTAAGCTAACATTAACACTTACTTCTCACTTAGGGCAAAATGATGGCTTGGGGGAAGGGTAGGTGGGCAGTTTCCCAGAAACCTAAATTTTAAGAGTTCAAGCAACGACGACGGCAACGGGAAAAAAGTCTTTTAAAAAATGAATTCAGCTTTTTCACTGATTTCTTTTCTTCTCTACACAGATTTAGAGACAAAGGCCCGCGCAAACGACAACTGACAGATAAGAAATAGAATCTACGAACTTGAAATCAATGCCGCAGCAACTGTGCGATTAAACTGGACCTTTGCTTGGCGTAAAATGTCTTTTCTTATATTCCTACACTTTCTGTTTTAAAAAATAGCAATCTTTTGTTTTTAATGAGAGCAATGTCTCTATGGGAAATTATATCTACTATTCCATTATTTCATTTGTTGCTGAAAGCAAAATCAAAGAATGAAAAAATTACAGTCTCATGGGAAATCCTGAAGGACAATCACAAGGCTTAACATCTCAGGCAAACTTGTCACAAAAATTTAAGACAACAAAACTAGCGTAATAGAGTCGAATACACCACATCACACAAATAATTTGTACTTTGTTTATTTTTCTTTCCTTTTAAGTTACATTACGACAAAATAATACGCCGTAAGAAATACCCCTGCCGCCAGAAGCTCGCAAACCCAACCCCGTAATGGTTACCAAGGGCAACCATAACCTCCCCACAAAATCCAACATGGCCGGATCTCCGAACGTGATGGTCTATTGATTTTCAATGTAGAGGTACGGAGGAGTGTAGCGAAAAACTCTTAGCTTAAAGGAGCTCCGCCTCTCTAAGGTTCAGTCTCTGTTGGCTGGTTTCTTGATCAGGCCTAGCAGATTTCTTTACTCATTCACCACTTTAGAAAGGATGAGGGAGCTGCCGGATTGCGTCGCGCACCTTATTATGGGATCGTTAATGGGGACGCGCTGGTCAGCCATTGGCCAATTTTTCCCCTGTCCCTAGTTACAGTCCCAGAATTCTTTGCGGAACTTAACTCGACCCAGTTCCTTCTTCTTTCTAATGCGAGGAATGATGATTTGGTGATGGGTTTTCTTCGTTCGACTGACTGAAAAGCGAGTGGCTATAACAGAGAACAAAGCTTAAAGGGACGCTTATGATGTGCTCATCAGAATAAGGACGAGATTTCAGGTACGATATCCGTGTCTGCATTTCAAAAGCCAGACATCAGTTCTCACCTGTTAACAAATCTTCATCATCTGAACACATATTTTCTGATATTCTTTTTCACTTAAAAATTTCCTTCAGTCGACATTTCAAAGAAAAGAAATCCTAAATTTCATTTTGTAAAATATTGCAGAAGAAATACATCATCCCAAGTTTGATAAAAGTATCGAATTTTTCTTAGACGACTACTGAGCGAATTCACCCACGTGGACAGCATTTATGCTAATTTATAAGAACAAAAGAAAGTTTTTACACAAGAAAAGAGTTCAATTCCAACAGGGTTGTCTTGGTACACCAACATGGTGGTGATGACTCGATGGAGAAAGGAAAGTGAGTTTTTCTAGTGGGTAGACAGGCTAAAGGCGTATAGTAAGCAAAGAATGTGGGTAACAAAATGAAGGTGGCTTCAGCGAGCTGTTTAACGCTCGCGACAATACCTGTACAGTTATAGTTTTCAGAAGGAAATATTTAAAATACAACAGCTTCTCTGAAAGAACACTTCTTCTAACGTCAGCAAAATATACAATATGTACAACATAAATTGGCCTTTTGCTATGTAATTTTACAATTTAAATTTCTTTAAATACAGCAGTGTTTCCTCAGCAGTTCTCTTGCTATGAGTTCGTTTCCGCTTGCGCGATAAATTAATGACAAATTGAACGCTGTCTCCCTATGTAAATCGTGTTTTCCTGAAAACTGAACAAAACTACGCGTTAAAATAATGTTTCCCCGCAAAATGAAAAATGAGCGCAGAAATTCCATACTGATGACCTGTAATTCCCAGATCTAGTAAGCACTTCTGATTGGCTGGGGAAAATTTCCCTCGCGGCACGACCAATCAAAAGCACTACCCAGGTCTGGGTAATGACACGTCATCAGTATGGAATATCTGCGCCCTTCCTCAAACGTCATTTCCAGAAGAAAACACTGGTGGCCTCGCGAAACGTCGGCTGTTTCTCATGCTATTTAAAATTCTCGCGTACGCAGACTGCTTAGAACCTGGTAAAGATACAGGACTCCTACCTTGGCCGCTGTTTGTCCACCATCAAGAGAGGCTTCGTGTAAAGGAAATTCTAATGCCTTATGGTAGTAATGAACAGCAAACTGAAGAAGTCCTGCAGGTGAAATAAAAATACAAAAAAAGCTATTGTAGCGTATACTCTGGCTCTGTCATGTACTAGAAACCTTCACCGAAAATTCGCAAGCTTGCGCACCTTAAACACGCGCGACGTTCAAGATTGAATCGACTTTAGAAATTAAGAAATTCGGACAACTTTAGAGATTCGAATTACTACAGTCAAACACTGAGGGGGCCCATAGCTAGAGATATCCGTATTAAGCGGGCTGAATTGAGAGAAAAGGTAAAGGCTTTCTTTCCCCAGGGAAAAAGTAAACTGTCTGTAATGACGAGGTGTCCGTAAGGCGGAGTTTGACTGTACTACTTTAAACCTTGACATATAAATAAACAAATAATAAATAACGATTTTAGAGGTAGCACATCCACTAAGTGGTTCTTCGTCTATCTGATTCCTGGTAGAATTGGAATTTGGAAGTGTTGGTTTTGAGGAGAGGGGAAAAGCGGAGTACCCGGAGAAAAACCTCTCAGAGAAGAGAGCCAAGTGGCAAACTCAACCCACATATGGCGTCGATGCCGGGATTTCAGCCGGGCCACATTGGTGGGAGGCGAGCGCTCTCACCCCTGCGCCATCTTTTGCTCCCCTGAAGCATAATTACAACGATGTTTACACGCGCGACAAGCGCAGTTTCATATACACAGACGGGACAATGGTTTCGTGATAAGCGGAGTGTTTAAGTTACTTGTTCCTATGCATGTGACGCACCTAGCCGAGGGAAAATACTTTGATCTTAAACCAAATTCTCTCATCTAATTCTTAAAGGAAATGTATGGAGATCAGTCTGCAGAATTTGTATGTGGATAAAGGAGCTTACTTACCTAACTGATGGAATGCTCGCCCTAAGTTGTAAAATGCTTCCTGGCACTCTCCACGGAGACCGAGGTATTGAAACATAAATACGATGCTCTGGAAAGAAGAAATAATCAGTGTAAATCGTAGACTGGGTTTACACCGAGGATAAGAAAGGACATCCAGTTACTGCTACTGAGGCTAGTTAGCTGAGAATGACCAGAAAATTCCCAAAACAGAAAGTTTCAAGAGACAGTTAAACATCCTAGACCTTAAATGTAAAATAGCTAGCTTTATCATGATTCTCTCCGTCCTCGTGAACAACATTACAGGAGGAACACCAGAAACAATCCAGTATTTCTTGAGTTGAATGAGCGTAAAAGAGGGGGCGATCCGCACGTATTTGAAAGATTGTTTTTGATTAGCTGGGAAAACAGTAGGGATTGTCACATAACAATGCCCCTATCCCTGAAAACAATGGAAGTGCAGTTTAAAGGGGACCAGTGAAACCAGAGGTTTAGAACGGTGCAGGTCTACTGAAAAGAGGAAGCAAGGCAAATGTGTTCATCATCATCATCAACATCATTTACTATCAAAATCATCATTATCATTGTTATCGTTATCGTTGTCGTCATCGTCGTGTTTGTCGTCATCATCGTCGTCATCGTGCTCGTTACCGTCGTCATCAAAATTATCATCGCCGCCATCATCATCATCAACTCGTCGTCGTCATCGCTATTGTCATCATCATCTTCCTCGTCGTCATTGTCATCGTCATTGTTGTCGACGTCGTAATGGTCATCGTCATCACCATCATCATCATCATTATTTTTTTTTTTTTTACCTGTATAACACAAGTATGTCTATGTCTTGGGAACCGCTGAGAAGCCAAGTGAAGGTACTGAAGGCCCAAACATAAAGAAACTAGCGGGTCAAGGGGTGTTTGACGAAAAGCTCTGATGTATTCGCCTGCATTGTAAAATAAAATCTTGTCATGGAAAACAAAGAAAGTAACGTAATATACTTGGGAACCAGGAACCGATTCAGAGCGTGACCAAAACAGAAGCCCATAACCCGGAGGTTGCAACTGCCCTACTTAACCTTTTAGCATGATTTTTGGGGCACTTTTTCCCGCGGAAATGGAAGCATCGTTCCCTATGCGTATGCATCCATAGTACGATAATTACAAGAAGTAGAAGCAAATGCTATCAAAACATCAGAAATACTTTTTTCTAGTCTCTGGGATTTGATGACTGATTTGTAAGACTTATTCTTCACATCAAAATTCGTAGGAAAATCGATCTAAAAATAAACTGGTCTGTGTCTGCGTCTCGATCCTTTTACAAAAAGGGAACCTTTTTATTTGGGTGCGCCGATTCTTGGCAGGGTCACCGCAACAGCGCATGGCGCCAATTACTGTGAGTCCGTAACATCCCCCCCCCCCCACCCCACAACCCTCCATAAAAGATAGATCACCGAACCGGAGACTACGTACCCTACTCTTTACGAACAGCATGTGAGTTCTTTATCGTCACGCAGAATTTACAAGTGCAAGGGCTGTGAGATGGGGCCTACGGTTTATTGTCCATCCGAGAAGACTAGAAAGTCTAACTATTTGCAGATGATATTACAAAGGCAGCACTTTCTCCTGTGTTGTTAAAAGACCCTGAGTGTTCGTCTGGCTGGGGTTTAAACCAGCGGCCTCTCGCTCGGAAGACCTCCGTTTATCCAATTGAGCTAGAAGTGCGGTGGAACCCTACCTACCTATTGCAAATTTATAACTTGCGCTGACAGCAGCATTATGACCGCTGTATAAAACAAGTGGCAGCTCATCTGGGTGCTTTATCAAGAGTCGAAGAATGTATCGCTGGTGCCTCGTATCGCCTGACTTTGCGGTGATTCTGGCCATCAAGTTCCAGTATAAGGGTTTGTGCCTGTCCCTGGCAATGAGTATTTTCACAGTGTCGAACGCCAGTTTGTATTCCCTATTGAGGTACAGAGCTACGACGCTCATGAAAAGAAGTCCAGTTTGGAAGTTTGAGTTTGAGAAGCGGTCAGACGACAAGGCACATAGCAGCAAGTGCTGAGTATCTGCATGACGTTTTAAATGACTAAGAGCCGATACAACCTAAAAAAAAAAACAAAATGAAAGGAGTTCAAGTATTGAAACAAAATGTCTGTTTGTTTATTGTTATCATCATCATCATAATCATCATCATCATCATCAGCATCATCATCATTATTAGAATTATAAAGTCCTCTCTCGCCTTTTATCCTCTGTACAGTCACTGTTATTGGCTAGTCTGAAATGTCACTCTTCCCCACCCCCTAACTCATTGGGAGCGCACCCCCATTGGTTAGTGGGTGAAGACAGTTGACATTTCAGACTATTTGAGGTTGTGCCGGGTTAGAATTCATCCTATAAAATAGCTACACAGTGCAATTCCAAACAACGCCCACCCAGTCTTGCGTGCAAAGGTGTCAAAATGACCTAAAACCTTGGGTGGGGAAAAATGGCTTTTAACACTGTTACTTACCTTTTTTAACATTTCCCACCACTCCTCATTTCTAATTCCAGTATTGCCCTTACTCCTGGTGTGGGAAGCTATAAAACAAAAGGAAAAAAAATCATCAAAAATCATAAAATCATGGTTTTTCCAATAACAATCATTATTTTGCTTTTGTTACTTTTTAGTCTTCTTCAATTCGACACAGGCCCATGGGTTATGATAGACTTAATAATATCTTACATGGTTTCAAATTAGTTCCCTCTTGATCCGATGGTTCATTTTTCTTCGCTTCTGCTCTTTTGTACTTTGCTGATCTCAAGGCAATATCTAATAAGCAAAACAAGAAAAGTGTGTTATGTAAGAAGTAGACACTAATCTAGCCTAAGTAGCTGGCCTTTTATTCCTCACCATACTCTAAAAAATTGCCATCTCTGAGACAGTTTTCAAGATAAGAGGAAGGAAGGAATGGGGGTAGGAAGGAGGAGGAAGGGAGGGAGGGAGGAAGGAGAGAAGGGAGGAAGCGAGTGAGGGAAGGAAGGGAGGAAGGAGGACAGAAGGGAGGGAGGGCGGAGGAAGGGAGGGAAGGAGGAGGGAGAGAAGGGAGGGAGAGAGGGAGAAAGGGAAGGAGGGAGGGAGAGTAGAAAGAAAAGCACAACACACGACATCAGAGAACTTCGCCTACCCATCAGGTCTTTATTGTGGTACACATCGTTGAAAAATAACTTAAACAGTTCAATCCCTGCTTCAACAAATTCGTCGACACGATCCTGCGACTGCAAAAGTGCACACTTGTGGTAAAGAAGCCTGAAATCCTGTTTTGAGAAAGAAGAGAAAACCGCGTAAATAGACATTTTTACATTGGCATCTTTTTTTTACAACAACAACCAGCGGTCATTACGGTTTTCCTTGGAACTCTCCAAGTGTTTTAAATTTAGTAAGTAATGGGCGCTTGAAAGAAAAACGAAAAGGGCGTTAGCGCTAGTAGTGGAAGGGCGCCTCCGCGTTGTCTTATTTTCCCTCTCGTTTCAAGAGTCTGCCAGGCTGGCTGAAGGGACTATGTCGCGCTATTCGCTATCTTTTTAATAAGCTAAAACGTATCTCTGCGTCAATAGAATTCCAAAAATAAAAGCCTAGGTTTATTATTTAAGACTATATCTAGGCATTGAAACTGTTTCCTGTCGTCTGTTGCAAAGGATATCAAGGGTGGACATGGATTAAAACTTGAAAAAGTTGCGCCATCTTTTTCAAGTTTGAATGCTATGCCTGTAAAAATAGCCATAACTCATTCACGACTCAAAAGGAGCATTTTGTGTATGTGTAACGGCACTTAATAATAACTTCAGCACAGAATTGACCTTAATCAGCTACGCTGGGTTGCTACCACAATACGCTCTTCTCACGTATGGTAATATGCCCGTCTAACCTCGTTTTTGAGTAAAAAATCCTTTGAAATGCTAATCAGACGACGTTTTCGTATTTGAATTTCAAAAGAATTTTTACCCGTAAACGAGGTTAGACGGGCATATTACCATATGTGAGAAGAGCGTATTGTTTGTCCATCTTTTTTATGAGGTTCAAGAGACATCACTGCAGCAAAAATCTCAGCAACTGACCAACCTGTGGCTGTACTGCAGGCTCTGAATCAGATTCTTCAGTGTACGCAGGGCTGTGAGTGGTATCCATGGAAACCTCTCGACCGGAAGCATCCTGAGGGATTTCTATACCTCTGGGGTCTGCAATACGTACAAACGTTATAAGAAATTTACACCCCCAGACGTTTGTCCCAAACAAAACGCTCTTGATCTCGCGACGACGAGGAAACCAGACCACTGGCACAGTTTTTTGTTTTTGTGTCTTACGTTGTAGTAAACTATTTGGAAAACGGCCAAGTCGGCCTTTTATGGTACCTGTCATTTGCTTGGTCTTCAGTTCAAATATATCGCCACTTACCACCATAGGTTATATTTACGAAAACGCACATTGAGTTGCTCTCCAGTGGGCTTAATACATGTAAGTTCTCTGGATACAGCTTTGCGTCCGCTCATTGCAAAGATCTGGTTTCTAATCCACGTCAGACCTAAATTATTTTTCAGTTTCTTTTTAGAACGATATAATACTTATCATCAACATCTACACAACACACATCGAAACAAGTTCTTTCCAAAAGAAAACATGATGCTTCTCACGATGATTTCATTTGTCGCTGACATAGTAAAAAATGTTCGACTTCTCACCCGATAAAATATCCAGTGCCTGGTTGGGTCTGCCCAGCTGCTGATGAAGAGATGCAAGAATCAGCCGAGCATCGAGGTGGTTTGGAGCTAAGTTGACAACTTGCGCGTAAGCAAAGGCAGCTTCGTCTAACCTTCCAAGAGAGTGTAGGCATTCTCCCTTCTTTAACCACACACCTGCCTGCGTGAGATAATTCAACAGATTGTTAAGATAGCGTTCTCTCATTTAGAACGGTTTACAAATAACCATAGCCTTATTCCGCTTTAACTTTATTTTTTTGATTAGCGGTACAATTTTTCACCACCTATATTGACCAATAAAAAGAAAAGAAAGAAACCGTGGTGATCAAATCTCGCGCCATTTTCTCGACCAATCAGAAGAGACAAAAAATTGGTTACCTGCTCACAAGCTTTCCCGCGCTAGGTACGTCCTAAATGTGATTCGCTTCAAGTTTTGATTGGCTTAGTGAACTGCGGGAGTCTGTCATTGACTGGTACAATTACGTAGTTTAGTGTTCCAAATCACTACCAATAGCCGGGATGAAGTTGCACTGAATCTTGAAATTTATTTTTGTCTCATCATTAAAAATGACATTGATTTGTCTTGAGTTCATACTAAGTTGCATTTGTCAAGTAAGCTACTTCGTAACCCTGTTTAGATGAAAATGCCGGTAGAAAAAGCCCCGGTAATACATAAAAAGAATGATTTAACAGCCGCGAAAATGGCATTCAAAATTAAAAACACCCACCATGTTGTAATTCTTTGATCGGATGAGTATGTCGAGAATGGGTAGAGCCTCTTCGTAGTCTCCTAAAAAACAGTTGTTTAGAAAAAATCAAATCCCAACTAACTCTGTGCAAAGAAACACAAGACCTGTTACGTAGGGTTATGGTGCGTAGGATTATGTTAGTCCAATAGATAAGCAATTTCTTACGAGCTATTACTAACTGCTATTTTGGGAAGTGACCTCGAAGGTAACTATTACAATACACACTGAGTTGAAAAAGTAATAATTACAGTAATACATACTGAATTGAAAAAATCATCTTATAACACAACCACAGTGGACAACTAAGGGCAAATGAAGATTCTTACTTCAGTATTGTCAACAATACTTCGGATCGAAACCCACCAACCACGAGTGAGTTTCGTAATGCGCCAATCATATGCTGTACCATGGTGTTATATAAATAGTCCCGCTCAGTAAATTGACACTATCGCCTTATTAACACCAGCAGTACGAGGTCGAAACGTCGCGATCAATGCCTACAGGACTCTCGCAGGTGAAGGTAAGGTAAAGCCGGGTGCACACGAGCGAAAGGCCCAAACAGTAGATGATTATCCCGGTAGCATGCATAAGAGTATTGCCACTCCCCCCTGGACGGGATGCTAATCCATCGCAGGGTACCCCCCAGCAGTACGTCGCCGGTACCCATTTATACACCAGTGTGAGGAAAGACAAAGTGGAGTAAAGTTCCTTGTATAGGGAAACAACGCAACGGGCGAGGCTTGAACCCCAGACCTCCAGATCCGGAGATCGAGCTGTTGACAGGCCACACACGCTTACTATCGTAAAGCCCCGTGCAAACGGACGCAACATTGTTGGCCAACAACTCCCAACATTGTTGGATGTTACATGTTGCGTCTGTTTGCACACCCTGTTGCATGGTGTTGGATGTTGTTGCACAAAGTTTGAAACCGGTTAAACTTTTCAGCCAACAACTCCCAACATTTCTTTTGTTCCGTGATCGCCGAAGCGTAGCGCAACAATGTTGGATCCGTTTGCACAACTCTTCCAACATTGTTGGGGCCGCGCACGCGCATTATGCATGGTTTACAAAGACTTATATACGGGTTGTATCCTTCCAACGATGCACTGCAGGTCCCAACATTGTTAGGAGTTGTTGCATCCGTTTGCACACCACTGCCAACACGCACGCAACAACTCCCAACATTGTTGGCGCAACATTGTTTGGGGTTGTTGCGTCCGTTTGCACGCAGCCTAACATAAACAATAAATGAGCCTAACGATGTCATCTTATATAATTTGGTACCATTTTCCGCACAAGCTTCAGCGACATCCATATACAGGTCACCAACAGTCTCCACAGATTGAAAGAATAAGGGATGAAGAATTTTCTGCAAAAAAGTGAAAAATTCAATACATCATAAATGTGTTATCTTCTGCAAATTGGTAAAATATTGCTCTCGCGCGCCCGGTTTACCAGGGACATAAAATATCAGTAACAAGTTTCGCGCTCACGTCATAAATGGACGTGAAAAATCGTGGCCCCTAGCTTACTGTAACGAACTCAAACTTGGTTAGTGAAAGGTACGTATTATCGTATCGGTACATGTAGTATATCGACTAAACTGCACTTGTCATTGTAATGTAGCGAAACGACCAGTATTGGTAGCGTAAAATTTAAGCAACTCTTAATGTCGTTCGTATTTATTTCCACTACTACGACATTCTCGACATTCTAAAACTCGTAGTAGAGTGACAAAGGCTACCGCGTTTTCCCGCCAAAATGACCCTGACTCACGCACGCGCACTACTTAGTACTAAGCAAATCTCGTTCACGCAGTCGTCGCAGTTTCAGAATCTGAAGGTCTCTATTAAGCAACCATTACCTTGACAAGATCGAGCTGCCGTAGATAAATAAGACAAACAACAATCTTGACACGTAGATCAATCGGCAAGTCTTGAGGAAGAACTAAGTTGACTGGAGCTTCGCTGTTGTCTCTCTGTGGGGATCTAGCTGTGCTTGCCTGCCGGGTTGGACTCAAGAGTAGGGAGAATGCTGTCAGAGGTGACTCATTCGTAGGTTCTGTGTTGGTCTCTTTCTTGGCCCCACAGTGTTTTAGAATAATCTGCAATGGAAGACTAAATGTTTTATCACCGTCATCACCATTGTCATCACGTCAGTGTCATCGTAATCGTCATCGTCATCATAATCATCATCATCGTCGATGTCGTAGTGGTCGCCATCATCATTAGAGAGCTTTAGCACCGACGACGGCTAAGGCAGCGAAAACGTCACTTTAAAAATGAATTCGCGTTTGTTCAAACTTTTCCGCGTTTATTCCAGTTTGCTTGAAATGTCAAAAGTGGGCGAATTTCCCTGGAGTTGATTGCTTGGGGACCGCACCGAAGTTTAGAAAGAGGAAGGAAAATTCGTCGTCGCTTGTTTATGTCTTCCATAAAACGTGAAATTATGCATTTTCATGTCGTAGTCGTGCGGAGAAGGCAAAGAAATGTAAAAAAAAGTGTGATGCACGTGCAAATGTGTTGTTTTGCTTAACAAGCCTATTGCTGTTTTAAAGTTTCCCCTACCGTTGCCATCGCCGTTGCTGAAGCTCCCAAATAGGAGCCTTAAGCGACGACGACCACAACAACGTCAAAAAACAAACGGATTTATGAGTAAAACAAATGCTCTGCACGCTCATCACGCTTTTTAGTACATTTCTTTAACGTCCACTACACGACTACGACGTGAAACCTCCCAATGCGAGGTTTTATGGAGGAGGTGGACATACTACAACAAATTTTCCCTTCTCTATTTGAACATCGATAAAGCCCTTAAGAACTCAACTCCAGGAAAAATCGCCCCATACATTTGACGTATTGAGCGGTTCCAAATAGATGCGATAAAGTTTGAAAAGACGCAAATTATTTTTTTAGTGATGTTTTCACTGGAGTCGTCGTCGTCGTTGCTTACGGTCACTATCATCATCATCATCATCATCGTGGTCGTCATTATATTTGAAAGTCTTCGTTACAAACGCTCCTTGGAAACAAAAAAATTTTCAACCTCTAGTATTAAAACCTGAAATCAGCCTGTGGAAGTTCGACTGCTAATCACATTCACCGGATTACTCAAAGCTCTAAGCTATTATCTCTCAAACTATTTTTTCGCGTCTCTCCTTTAATAATCTTGCCTTCAGACTTCTATGAAACAGCCAACTAAGTTTCCTACTAGCTCTCCCGTGACCATCATCACCACCATCATATGTTAATCGCGGTAACAGCAACTTCAGCTCAACACCTTTGTAACCAGTCATCACGACAAATTCAATCCAATGCTGTGACAAACCTAACTGAATATATGAAATGAATCATTTTAAACTGGGAATAAAGCCTATGAAAGTGAACATGGTCTTCGCAGTAGAATAAACAGAATAAACAACCTAAGCAGTTGAAAAAGAACCAGAAAAAATTCAGGCTTGACTGGGACAAAACTAAAAGACTTTCTTGTCCGATGAAGAATTACCTGCAAAGCCTCCTCGTACGCCTTCGATGCCATGAGTAGATCAGCAAGCATGTTAGTGGCTGTAAAAGAAACAACGTGTTAATATATCAGCAAAAGATGTTTGCCTCGAAACTGCGGATTTCCCAAGAGATGGACAAGGTTTTGGGACGTACGAACTCGGGGCCTCCGGACCACAAGTCCAGCGCTCTAACCGCGCCATCACGCTGCTTACTATGGCCGTTTCAAACGTACAAAGTTGCCCAGGTCCGACAAAAAGAAAAGGCCACGGCTTTAAACTATATTCACATCATAGGATAGCACCAAAAAACCCCGAGTGCTCAGCTTTACACAAATCATTATGTGGTTGGGTTACGAGACGTATTAAAAAGACCTTATTCAAGATAATTATACCCGTTATCTGACGCGTGCTATAATTAGTTTCATTTGCAATTGAAAGTACCCACCTTGATTATTAAAATGCTCTGGATATTGTGAAAATGCAGCTTGAAGAACCTTAATGGCTTCTTCCAAGTTCTTGTTTTCATGATGTAGCTAAAATTTACACAATATTTTAATATTATTAAATATTATTAATACTAATATTATTATTATTATTATTAAAACCCTTCAAGCCCCATCACCCAGATACAAATTTCCCAGAATCTTAAAATTAATGATACGACTTTGTCCTACCTTTGCCATTTCACACACAAGGTCCATATACTTTGCCCCATCATCAAAATTTAATGACATAGCCTATAAGACAAAGGAAATGATCAAGGATTACTTAATTTATAATCTACAAAAATTATGTCATGCGACACAGTACAGGACAGTAAGTTTAATGGCTAATGGATCAGCGTGTTAACTCAAAGAAGCACCATTGCCTTCATCTAAGTTTTCATCTTGATGGTGCGCTGCTTATTTAAGGGCAGCACTTATTTAGGTAAGAGCTTACTAAGAAATCTTTCTTTCTATTTCTTTGTTTTACACATTATTATGTAAAAGAATATTCTCCTTCCAGATCCAAAACATGTTAATAGAAACATCAAATCAATAAATGTATGTGCAACACAGTTGCTGAAAGGGCATGGCCCTTAACTGAGGTGACGCCTGTTAATAATTTTGCTCCCGAGTGCAACGTTCTTTTGGAAGTCATGCAATTTCAAGTATACATGTAAAACATGGTATACAATTCTAGCATGAGCTAGGCCAGAATGGTATGCAATTCTAACTTTTCAACATTCTTGTGGACCATCTTATCTCAGGGTCTGAATGACTGCCCCCTCCCCCCCTTATCTGAAGGTCTGGATCTGCCATGCACTGATCTAAAGCATTACTTCATGACATGTCACTATCACTTTATCTTTAGGATTATACAAATAAACTTGGGAATTTTCTGGACAATTTCAATTTTTTTGAAAATTAACAAATAGAAGAGGAAAATATTGCTGTGAAATTAAAAGCAATTTTGCAGTTTCACTTAATGTTGTCCTTAACTGCAATCATTTATCAAGGGTAACAACTGGATAATGTGCCAGTAGATAATACTGCAGGGTAAGAACCACTCCACACTTGTACTTTAGGGAAAACATGTGCTTACTTGGCATGCCATTTCATAACTTTCCAAGCTTTTCTTAGGATTGTCCATCTGATAGTATAGAGCGGCACGATCCCACAGGATGTTTGCATTGCCTGGGTCCACCTTTAAAGCTGCATAAAGAAATTAAAATCGTTGGAAATGTGAAATTCCCACAAGGACCAAAAAACATGAGGTATCACCTAACAATTCTGTGACACTCCAAGAGTCTTCTGGATATGGCAGCAATCTCCCCCGTCTCCCGTATGAGTCATCAAAGGGTTTACTCAGAAATGAATATGTTGTGGTTAATTTTTTATCACAGGTAATTTTTATTTTTCCTTTGTTTCAACTTCATTAGCATGCATTACCATACCCAAAAAACAAAACAAAAATTACCTGAGATAAAAAATTAACTATGTACAACAGATACATTAATTTTCACCTTGGTCATAAAAAACTCACCTTGGTTATAACAAGTCAGTGCTTGGTTTAAGTTACTCTGTTCAATTGACATCATTGCAAGCTTTGCCCATTCTTCTGAGTCTCCTGATTTACTGAGATATGCCGCAATAAGAAAGAACTAGAATGTAGGAAAAAGGGTGTGGCTTGTCAGCATTACCCCTCTGACTATCAAAAGAAATGGTCGTTATTCATGAAAGGGCCAGGTGGGGGAAAAACATATGTGAAAGATGAAATTTTCTCCTGTAATACTAAATCAGCAATCCTGTTACAGTAAGACCCCATGTGTAAGAACTTTGTGATTTAAGAACGCGCTGGCAGACATTTGCCATTTCAATACCCAAAAATATGAGTTCACCTGTTTAGCCAAGCAATATCACACAAACTCCCTATATAGACTGGGTAACAGTTAAATTATGATAAGAATAATTTATTTTAACCACTGAAAATTGATTTTATTACCAGAAATTGTAAAAAACTGTAATCTCACAACAAAAACAGTTTTATATACATGTAAAGTGTAGACTAATTTCCTTCATGGATCTTGCATAAAGGAGGTTTGGAATTTACAGTTGTGAATATGGTCAGTAAATTTTCTTTTTTAGGACCAAACACAAGTATATGTATTTTTCTGATCCTTACCCAAAAAGAACTTACTTACAGGGCAAATTGCCAATAATAACCCCAAAATACGAGAACCTTTTTTACCAGTCAGAGTTACATGCCTTTTTTTTAAAATGAATTTTGCTTTCTGTCTTACATACACAAATAATTTACCTGAAGAGCCTTCTCTTTATCTCCCTGCTCCTCAAACATCATTCCTAAAGTCTGGAAAGGTTCCGAGCACTTTGGAACTGCACAAAAAAAACATCATCCAAAAACAAAGTAAAAAATGTCAAGTTTTTATTTTTTTAAATTTTTTGTTATTTACAAACTCTAAACAAACATCTTATCAGATGAAACTGGAAGCAGTGGAAGTAACAATTTATTAGTACTATATATATAATGAGCCGAATAATCATGGTCACAGAAAATTTTAAGTAAATGAAATAACAAAGAAATGTAGAAACACATTATAGTGGTATTACAGGTGATCAATTCTTACATTGTATTGTAGTAAATAATATGTGACCAACCTTGTCGAATCAAGTCCATACAAATTCCTTTGGCTTTTTCCATCTCTCCTCTGGCCCACAACATATTAACATGGCCCATTGTATGCTTGTGTTTCGCTGGTAGCTCACAAAGTTTACGCCGTGCAGCCCTGCGCCGTGGAGCCCTGAGCTGTTTGATTTCTTCCATAAACTCATCCACTCCAGTTCCACCAGGCTTCTGCGCACTTTTTGCAGCAGAACCTTGTAATAAGAGATCTGTCATTCTAATTGGTGTTTGGGCTGATGCTGTTTGTTGCAAAGAAGATGAAATGTTGTTTGGTTTGCCTGAGTCCCGGACTGGACTCTCTGTGGCAGAGCTTAGGGCTAATGCCTGAGAACCCATTTCTGACAGCTGAGTGAATATTGGCTCTGATACAAGAATCACCATTTCTTGATTACTAGTGGTCGTAGCAACATCTGGAGAACAGGACACAAAATGCATAAGCCCCTGTTTAAAAAAGCAGTATCTTTCCTTTTAAGTTTTTTCCAAGGGTACATTCCTAGCCAGAGCGGTCATTTTGAAAATGAAATATTAGTCTTTTCTCAAAATTTTGCTAAAACCCATCTCTGTCAAGCATACCATTCTGGAATAAACTGATCTGGTTGGATAGTCATGATTATTAGTGGAATTCTCCTGATGAACATCACTCTTAATGCAACGACAATTTAGAGATTAGGGTGACAAATTATAGCACTGCCATTCTGAACAAGTTAGACTACCTTAGTCATGCGATGATGGCAAAGAAATCTGCCAAAAAAGTGTACTGCACATTGAGACTTTGTATTTAGCTAAATTAATCCGTTGCTTCTATATTTTTAATTCCTCATTTTCATGATACACAAAAATTTCATTGAAAAACCAGGGATTTGATCGAAAATGATGTCTCCAGATACCCATTGAGGGGCTCCATTTTAGGTCTGTGCAGAGTGTTAAGACGTCAAAATTAGTTGTACTAGTAGCCTGCAAGCTAGCTCTCCAGGTCACTCTGGCAGCGGGGCCGGAAAAGGAACGGGAGCTTGCAACTATGTCTCTGGAATTTGAATTCCACCTCCAAATATTCCCCCATAGCTCCCCGTCCACTGAACAGTCAGATTTCCACCAATCAGTGCAAAGTGGAAATGAGCATGAATGTAAACAAACATTGAAAAACACATGCCAACGGTAATGACGTTATTTCGAATGTCATCTCTGCCAATAAGCATTTCACATCCACTTTTTCAATGCAGATATTCACATTCCAGAGACGTAGTTGCAAGCTGTCCCTCCTTTTGCTGCCCTGCTGCCAAAGCGCCTGCAGAGAGCTTGCTTGCAGGCTCAGGCTATTGTACTAGATGATTCACCTGTTATATATAGAGAGAGTAAGATTGGAAATGATTTTGCGGGGGGGGGAAATGGTAGACTTCACAGGCTTAAAGGTACCCATAGAGTGGCTCAATTTTACAGCTGCGCAGAGTGCAAAGATGTCAAATAGTGGTACTCAGGATGATTCACCTGTTTGGGGTACAGAGTATCAGATTAGCAATGAATTTATTTCAGGAAAATGGTAGACTTCCTTAGTTTTCTATTCAAAAGCGGATCATGCTGTCTCACTCTGGAAGCTTTGCATCTCACTCAGGGGAAGATTCCCCAGCCTCTCAGTGACTAGGGGACTGGCGGATCTTTGTCAAAACTGCAAGTCTTCCAAGAGAAATGAAGACTTGGTAGGTGTCATGAGTGGCAACCAGAAATCAAAAGTCGATGATATGAAACTTGATGTCTATAAGTAATCTTGAACTGGACAAACATATTTTCTGCTCACCTGTGGGTTCACTCCTTTCTTCACTCAGACTATTAACCTCTGTGGTTTGTAGCCCTCCAGCTTCCCCATCTCCCTGATCATCTCCGTTTCCATCTTGCGTCTCGTTCTCATCTTCCACATCGGCAGATCCTGCACCGCTTTCAATCCACTCAGAAAAGCTTATCTCTCCACGAACATACTTCATAAGAGCGGCAATCCGATCGTCCTCCATCTTCAAAGTCTTAGCTTCTGAGAAAAAAATAAGCGATATTTCACCGTTTCGCGTCCGCCATATTTGGCCTGGATACTAAGCAAGAAGTCTCGGCTGCTAAGGTCATCCGGGAATGTTTTGAATTTCCCTTTTGCATGGACTTCTGGGTAGCACGCTGTTTTCTCCGCGTTTCAGTTCGCGTTCTCGTCTCGTTGGTGAATTTAGAAGGTACCTGTATTTTCGGTGCCAAATGTCGCGAGTTTACATCGGAAATCTAGGGAATAATGGCTCTAGACGCGAGCTAGAACGAGAATTCGAACATTTTGGTCCCCTCCGCGACGTATGGGTCGCTAGAAATCCGCCTGGTTTTGCGTTTGTCGTGTTTGAAGACTCCCGCGATGCGGAAGATGCCTGCCGTGAAATGGATGGAAGATATGTTTGCGGAGAGAAAGTTCGCGTGGAAATGGCTCGAGGGCCAACCCGGGGTGGAAGATCTCAAAGATCAGGAATAACTGAAAAATGTTACGAGTGCGGAAGAGTCGGGCATTACGCTCGGCAGTGTACAAGACGCCCCGGAGGTGGTGGAGGAGGTCGAGACTTTCGAGACCGAAGAAGACGCTACTCGCGCAGTCGGTGAGTTTCAACACTTTTTCCTCGGTTAAGTAACATTTAATAATGTTCGTTTCATACCATTGTTGAATTCATTTTTCGGGCTATCGATCCTGATGAGGGATTTAATAATACGACGCGGTAAAAATCGAGGTAAATCGTAGAGCTCAACACGTCGGATCCCATACTCTTGGTTATGGTAGCTTAGCTTTCGTTTTTACGTGGATCTGGGTGAATCAGTACGATTCCGGCATTCATTTCAAAGGTAACACACAGCAAGAAGTACTACAGTTTCCAGCGGTTGGAGTCCTAAGCGAAGATCTTCCTATAGCTTTTGTTTTCTAGTCCATCATATGAAGCTCCTTTTATGCAAATTTAGCCTACTATCTAATTAATCTTCTCCCACTTTTTTCCATATCTTAGTCAAGCTAATAAAAACTAAGTTTGACTACTCGGAAGAAGCCCTATTTCTTAATCCTTTCCTTCGTTGTAGATTTGCAAAGCATAAAGTGTATGGTTACGTTTCTAGAAAAAAATAGTGTTATTCATTGTCAGCAAATTTACATTGAATATTTTTTTGTAAAGTTTACCTGTAGTGTTTTATCTTTGCTCAGTACTGTAGTAAAGCTCCTACCGATTCCTATGGTAACTGAGTGTGCCCTCAAAGGACATAAGCACAAACATGGGAATCAATACTTTAGCTTGTGCTTATAATGTGCAAACCTAGCGAGGAATGAGTTCTTTTGTGGGTAAAGTGGGTTGACACAAAAACTGCTACACATTTGATTGACAATCACAACTGATAACTTCTAATCATATTTTGGAAAGGAGCTTATGAAACTAATAATACAGAGTTTTGTTTCGTACATCAGGGAGTTAAACTATTGCGTCAGTTGTCAATTCAACTGATGAACAATGTATGCATCTCTCACACTTCCAGAGGTGATTCTACCTACCCTGGGTGCGTGCCTCTGTTCTACTCTCCCCTGCGGCGTCTACGAGTGACACGCTTTCGACCTTCCATCGCAACTGCAAGCATATAGCTTATAGCTTCTCTACCCACGAACGTGCCGGGTTTAGCAAATCACTTCCCTAGCATTACTGCCCAGCGTCTCTTCTCTGGTACTTATAGCAGTGAGTAAGTAATGCCTCATTATCCACATAAGTCTGACTCAAGCTATTAAACCACAGGGCAGTTATTTATTAATGTCATCTTATTTTCATTTACATGTCATGCATATTCAGAGGGCCGTAAGTTAGAAAACTGTAAAAGGTTATTACGTCTCCCTCTTGAAATAAAGTTATTGTATTGAATATTCTAAACTAGTTTTTCAATTTCTGAACCCATCTTTCAATGCTGTGCCCTAAGAAAATTTTCATGGGCTCAGAAGCTCTTAATGCTCAACATTCAATGTTGTTCAGAAACTAAGATGTCCTTGTTGCCCAAAAGCAAAAGTAAGTTCTCAAGGGCAACACAGGGCACTGCTAATATAATGCACAGTCCTCCGCCTAGAGTTGGGAATAAGACAGTGTTTTGGAATATGCTGGGAACCCTGGAACCCTTCATGCAGAAGTCAAATTAAACATTTTGATTGTTATGTTCAATTATTTTTTGCTGTATATTTTGCAGTTTGATCTTGTTTGAGACAGACTTTTTACAGATATGACTTTGCCTGCCCTTTTTCTCAGTGATGCCATGTAATCTCAAATAAAAAAAGATTTTCCAAATGTGCTGCTAGGGTTTTGTTTTGCTTTGAATCTCAAATCTCAAATTTGAATTCAAAGTTGCTTATAGTATAAAATGCAGATGTAACATTTCTTGAAGAATAATGTTTTAAAGGAATAAATAATAATAATCAGCTCATGCTAGTTCTCTGTATAGAGTAATATCTTGTCGTTATATTAACTGTTTAAATAACCCACTGATAAAATGAGGCAGAAAATCAAGTTGTAATTGACTTACTGGTAAATGAATTACATCAGGAGAGACCGGGTAAATTTTGTATCATTGAGACAGGAAAGAATTTTGAGGGCCATTTATTTAAGGAAAGATAAGGCGCAAACTATCCCATATAAATGGCATATTTGTTATTTGCCCTTACACATGGTCTTTGATAATACACATCTTAGTGTGCCATTTATATGGGATAGTTTGCGTCTTATTTGGCACAAGTCTTTTTTCCTTGTATAAATGGCCCTGTTGTGTTTTGGAGATAGAAATCCTTGAAGACTTGAGGATTGAATCTCTCGCGCAGGTTTCTTATTATTTTGTGTTAAGCAAAAAAATTAACTCACTCATCAAGTTAGAGGTTTAAGTTTGTAAAGTAAGGTTGAACCATTGTTAAATTTAAATTAAAAACAAGTAAATTAATGTTATTTCTTTGTTAAATTTGTACGTGGAATATTTAGTTAGTGAAACTATGATAGTCTGAAAGTTTGCTCTCCACACTGCATTTAAAAAAGTGTTGATTGAACAAAGCCTACTGAATAAAGGGTTTGCAGGCTCCTTGAAAGGCCTTGAAAATGGCAGTTGGTGCTAGAAAGTCCATGAATTTCGGCGCTAACTTTATCCATCCCAAGAACTGCAAAAACAGAGAAGCAAACACAGAAAGACCCTCAGGATAAAATTGCACATGTTTTGGAAGGACTAGACTCAAGACCGCTCTTTTTTGCGCTCAGTGGAGTCCTTGAAAAATGGGAAATATGTCCTTGAAAGTCCTTCAATTTTTTGTTTAAAAAAAGGGTGCGGACCCTTTGAATAAGAGTTGGTGAAAATGGAAAGCTGTTGTATAGTTGCATCTTCAGTTTTATGGTTGTATTCATAACATAACTACAGTTTGAATAAAGTGTTTAAACTTGTCGTTTAGAACAAAACTAAAACAGTTGTTCCTCTGATTGTTTTTAATACATGTCCTTTAATAAAATAATCATGAGAAGACATGTTAGAAGGTTAAATTAATACTCTGTCAACACCCAACTAAAATGAAACATTCTCTTTTTGAAATAAAAATACTGGTTGTTCATGCTATTCTTGCCTTGATAATCATGTACTGTCACAAACATTTTTAGACAGCTTGGTGTAATCTACATAAGGCTGTAATGAAAAATACTCCCACATTTTGACTATACATACAATGATAACAGTTTAATAATATGTCTAAAATCTTTTTTTTTTTGAATCTCTTTCCTGACATGATTAATAAGGAATGCTCGTTTGGAGTTATTTCTTTTTGCCTTGATTTATGTTATATGGGGACAGTACTTTGTCAAATAACAAGAGAACATTTCTAAAGTTACTTTTCATTTTATTTTTAACAGATTATTGTATTATGTATCGCAAAGAAAGTATTTTTGACCTGAAGCATCTTTGATTGTTTTAGATCCCGATCTCGCTCTCCCAGAAGAAGACGTAGTCGAAGCAAAAGCAGAAGTCGGTCACCAAGGTTAGTAAACTCCAAATCTGCCAGTAGAGATGAGCGCAAATCTTTCACCTTCATAATCAATGCATTAGTCTTGCTTTTTGCTCTTCTTAGATGCCTGTACAAACCAAGTGCCACATAGGAAATCCTAACGAACACCCTAAGTATTGTTGTTAACCCTTTAAGTCCCAATAGTGACCAACATCAATTTTCTCCCAACGATATCCGTACATTGTCAAGAGTTTAGGTTATGAGAATTTATAAAATGATCACCTAAGAGGAAATGCTTTGATCTTTTGTCAAATTCTCTTAACTCATTCTTTAAGGAAATATAATTATAGAGATCAGTTGGAGAATTTGTATGTGGATACTGGGGCTTAAAGGGTTAAGGGACAATCGCAGAAATATGTCTTGACTTAGGAAGGATAGCTTTCTGAACTGAGGTTCTAAATGGTACCTCCACAACATGACAAAAGTGCTGTCTAATAGCCCAGGGCTAAAGTAACGACCTGGTCTGACTAGCGCGTCAGTTTGTTTATAGTTGTCAGATGGGTAAGCAACATTTTCTAAAACAAAGCAAATGTTAGGTAAAGGGGGATGGATAGGCCCGTATGACTGCTTCTGGCTAGTTAACCACAGCCTGCATGAATGGAAACATTTTTAAATTATTATTTTCTCACCTTGAGGTTACTTTGCAAGGGCAAACAAAGGCTTGTATGCAAAGCCCAAGAAGACTCTTAAACTCCTGAAATTGTCCCTGTTTTTACCTTCAAACATTAAGACTATTTAAAAAGAGAATCTCATATTTCAAGCATCCCTTCAAATGATGATAGAGTAATGTTGTTTTAGATGTCATCCCTTGCAAGGGGTTTAGGATGGGATTGGTCCAGATTCTTGGGTTGGTGATGTACCAAGCCCTCTCACATGCATGTATCACCTTTGGACTCAGAAGATTGGTACTTGGCTAGTAGTAGAAGGCCAATTTTTTTCTTATGATATTCTTTACCTTTACTTTTAGAAGGCGTTCAGGATCATATGAAAAAAAGTCAAAATCTCGCTCTAAATCTCCCAGTAGGAGTCGTTCTCGCAGTCACAGCCAAAGCAAAGAGAAGTCCAATAAAGAAAGGTACATGTATAGAGTTATGATTCAGTTGAAAGCTGCTTAAAATGTCAATGACAGCCCTGACATGAAATCTAAAGTCAGCCTAAGGGCCACTCGTTTTGTTGTATCAACATTTGAACAATTTTGGTGCACAGAATGGCTCTATTTTCACTTTCTGTGTCATGTGATTCAGGAGTACCAGTCCAGACAAGAGCCAGGACAAAAGGAAAGAAGAACATGAAGATGCCGAAGAGCAAGCTACTAAAGACCGTACTGAGAAGAAAGTTGAACTGGAGCAGAAGTCACGCAGTCCCTCACCTGCCCCGAATGAGGAGGAAAATCAGAACAATGATGATGAAGCTGAAGCCAATGCTGATGCTGATTAAATAAGATTGTATTCAATGAAAAGAGAATACAGTAAAAACCCGCGGCTAGGACCCTACATTTTGCTAAGTTAGCCTAAACAGATTCGTTCATAAATGGTAATTAGCACAAAATGATTTAGGCTGTTTAGGTTCTTAATTAGGTTCTTAGAGCATTTTTGGAGTAATAAGGCTGCAGTGTCTCCAAAGAGGATCCTACATGTTGACTTATCTTATTTGCCCAATAGTAAAAAATTTTTTTTTAGATTTTAAAAAATGAGAACTTGTTTCAAAGTTTAGGCTAAACGGGTTATTGTATAGAGGGGGCCTATCTGGCAAATTGTAGCCTAACAGGTTCTTAGTTGCGGGTTTTTACTGTAATGGAACACAGAGGGAATCGCCCTGTTTAGCCCTTCGGATATTTGAATTTCACCAAGGTTATTTTGAGACAAATTATAACACTTGTATCAATCGAGAGTTGATTTCCAGAGAGGCCTGCAAACTTTAATTCATTGTTGTCAAGAGAGAATTCAATAGTCAAAATTACAATATTCAGTGCATTTTTGCTTTGAGGCAGTCACCCATGGACTTGATCACATTTCAACAATAAATTAAAAGTTGTGGCCGTTTTAGGGATTCGACTTCCCTTAAACCGGCAACCTCTAAAATAACGTAAGTGAAATTCACATATCCCTGCCAACACACCAAGATTCCTTTTCTGTTCCATTATTCTTTCTTGAGACTATCAAAATGTTGACCAATGCATGCAGTTTTTAGGGACCCCAGGCAACCACAGTCATAGTACCCAGGATCAAGGAAGTCGGAGAAGACAAGGGGAAAAATTTGCGCTTTTTTTTACGCATGTACAGTCTGTTCTTAATACACACGAGTTGTAAATCCAAAATTTTGAATGATTGCATGTTGTTGTAAAAGATTTTTCTCCATTGTGAAGGATGTGCTCAAAACAAGAAATTTTAATCTTCCCCGCAATTCCTCCAAAATGCACCTTTTACAGTCTTCACTTGTTATATCCTGTGAACAGACCCCCGGGGAATTTGGGAGACATGTGGGAGCGTAGACCTTCTCAGTACCCCCGCACCACCCCTTGAGTTTTTTTTCCTTCCTCCATCCTTTTGCACTTTCTTAGCACTTGCCTTATGGTCCACTAGAGAGCCTAGTTTCTTAAAAATCCCCTTGGTTATAACATAGGGTAGTTGACCTCAGAGCACTTGCCCAAATCACCGTTTGACTACAACTACCGGAATCCTTGAGGATGTTGTTGTCTTTTCCGAATGAAGGATTTGGTTGGTTGAAGTTCATCGAGATTGCTACGCTGAACTAGTAAAGGAATTTTAATTTGGGTATTTTTAGTCAAGTGATGTCATCATGCAAATGCCCATTGTCTTATAGTAAGTAACCATCAGCATGATTACATGATTGAATAAATGACATAATGCAGTCGTTTCGAAAGCGAGAAAGCATTTCTCAGTTCCTCAGTGCCGTAGCCAGACCAAACGGCCAACCGAGGCAGGCGGGAGTTGCTAGGGGGGTTCGGGGGCATGCCCCCCCCCCCCCCCCCCCCCCCCCCTCTCACCTTCTTTTTCTTGGTAATCGATTAATGCGACCTTTGCTGGGCTTCTTTTTGTTTTTTTTTTTTTTTTTTTTTTTGTGTTTTTTAAAAAAAAAAAAAAAAAAAAACAAAAAAATAGTATGAATGGAATACTCGTCATACTGTATTTTTGTTTTTTGTTTTAATATAAATTAATATCTATTTTATNCATACTAGCTACGGCGCTGTTCTTTAATGTGGTGTTTTTATTTTAATCTCGAAATTTTTGGTTACTGATAGCTTATGTAATATTTGTAACATTCACTGGGCAAAAGTTTGTATTTTCTGGCTTAGTACAAGTTGTATGTAGTCATATACTATGGTTTTTATTACATGTATTGCATTGTTGCTCAGCTTCGTTCACTTTAAAACCTTGACCCTTACATTCCTAGAGTGGTTTTCGTTTGAGTGTCGTAAAACCAAAACCAAAGTAATTACTCTGGCCAATCACATAGGACACAGACAATACATTGAACCAATCAAAACTCAAAGTAATTACATGTGGCTGACGCAAGGCGCGGGAAAATGCATGCGAGCGCGTCACAATTGGCTTTGGTCTTACTTCTGATTGGATGAAAAGGTGGCGCGAATCTTTTAAGCCAATCGCATCGTGTAGAAAGTGCAAAACCAATTACTTTTCGACACTCAAATGAAAACCGCTCTATAAGGAATCAATATTTACTTTCTCCTTGTAATATTACTGCTTTATTAATGATAATCAGCTCTTTAGATTAAAGTAGTGATAAGAAAAGTTGTTACAGTCTAAGAGGATGTGTTATAGTCTATACTGACTTGAAGGGGTCTAAAGAGTCGCGGGTAACTCAGCTGCCTTAACAGGGAGCTTAAACAACCGCGACGGAAACGAATACGGTAAGAAAGCGAGGTTTAGACAAGAGAGAATGGTTTAGATAAACAAAACAGCAACTTTGCACGTGCATCACGCTTTTTTGTCGATTTCTTTGTCGTCACTGCACGACTTCAAAGTGAAAGTGTCTAATTTCACGTCTTTCGGAGGACGTGAACTCAAGACAACGACTTTCCTTTTCATTTCCTGAACTTCCATACAGACCTTTAGAAATCAACTCCAAAAAAATGTGCCAACATTTGACGAATTGAACGAGATTGGAAAAGTGCGATAGTGTGAAGGTGCGCAAATTCATTTTTGGTGACATTTACGCAGCCGTCGCCGCTCTCTAACATTCGTTCAATTCGCCTCCACTTTTTCAAAGAAAATCACCTTAAACAAGTTAATTGAACATAAATGACAACTAATCTTCTCGATCCTTTTGATTTTTTGCGCAGCGTTAAATTTTATACATCAAATGGTTGTCGCTGTTAGTAAAAAGCGACGTTTCTTGGTGTAAACAATTTACGTTCCCGCTTTTTAGACGGAAGAGCTCAGCTTCTAGCTCTTTCCGTCTCCTTTACTTGCTCTAAAAAACTTTAATCTGATTTGAAGCATCAGCTATAATAATTCTTCCCATTAAATCTACCGCAACTCCACATGGATTACATAGACCCTCTCTTGCACATTCCGCAATCAGGTGGCCATCTTCCGCTGAGAAGACTAGTAGACTGTTCTTCATACTGTCAACCAACAGAATGTTGTCATTGCCATCAACAGCAATGGCTTCTGGGGTGAGCAAGTTAAGCTCCGTAAAGGGAAGTGCGATGTTTCGAACCATGCTGCCGTCCCTTTTAAACACTTTAAATCCGGCATCTTTGGCCATTGAAACCACGATCTCGCCTAAAGACAAAAGAAAGCTAATAATAAGTGAATTTTATTTATGGATACTTGTATAATAAGTTTTCATTAGCAGCATTGCAGTACAAGACATCATTTCCATCTTATCTGACCTCTTAGTTCAGTGTCCTATGAACTCTCAGACCCAAGAGTGACTAACATCAATTTTTTTCAAATCAACATCAATACATCATCAAGAGAAAAAGTTATGAGAATTGATACAATGATCAGCAAAGACCAAATTCTCTCATCTAATTCTTTTCTCTCCTTCTGCACGCGCGTCCCCGAAATTCCCCTTCGTTATGACCATCAATTTGTCAGTAAACGGATGCTCGGACAAGGAAAACTAGTTTGACGAGAGAAAACAGGATTGACTAGTCCGGAAGTTCGGGGTCAGGAAGAGTCTCCTTGGCTCCAGTCGCAAGGTTCGTAACTGAGAACAGGTGCTCGGAAAAAAGGTACTGTATTCTCATTCTTTCACTTACCTTTGCTGTTTACAGCAATACCGGACATTTTTCGTTGAAGACCATCGTCATCGTCCAAAGTGCCGACTTTGAAATGTGACAAATACTCTGCGGAGCTACTAAACAGGTAGATAACTCGGTTATCACAATCAGCAACGTAGACACCCCCTTCCTCATCAACAACAACATGGTTAAGCCTTCCATCGGTCTGTGAGACTCCCTCGGGAGGTTTCAATTCTCCTAGATACTCTCCTTTAGAGTCGAACATCAGTACTGACGATCGGCCCCAATCACACACGTAAATCTTTCCATCTTTGCTCACTGCGACACTCAAAGGACGACCCTTGAATTCATTTTTTCCGTCACCTTTCTTTCCAAAACTAAACAAAAACACGCCAGAAGAATCAAACACTTGAACGCGAAAATTGTTCCTGTCGCATACGATTATCCTGTTCTCTTTATCCACAGCGATTCCCCTTGCTCCTTTTAACTGTCCGGGTTTTTCCCCAGAGCTTCCTATCACCAACGTCGGTTCCTTTATGTCTTTGTACTCACGTGCTTCGCAAGGCACGTGCACAGCAAAAGGGCTTTCGTTTACTGGAAATCCCCGGATGGTGACTTGAATGAGATGGAGGCCCGGTAAGGACGGACTGTAAGTGACGCTGTGTCTCCCAGCATTCTGTGCGATTACATCACCAACGATGATGGTGTCATCCGGAGCTTGAATCTGAACATTTACTTCACCATTTTCACATGCGATTGGCTTTCCTTTTCTGTCCCTGAAAAAATGTTTGCGTTAATATCATCTTTTGAACAAAAATTTCATCCTCGCCAGAATATAAAGGCGCTTTTCAAAAGTCACAGTGAACAATAAAATCTTTATTCCTTCTCGAAATTTTGGCTAAAACTCATTTTTGCTGTGCATACTATTTAGGTCTTAGACTGATGTGGCTGTGCAGTCCTGATTAATAGTGGAATTCTATTTGCAAAATTTAACCAGTGGCTAGCGTTATCCACTTTTTGAACAACTGGTAACACGTGATTAACACATTCAACATTAATCGCTTCTCTTCAGAATTTCTCGGCATCAGAACCGGTCGGTATTAGAATTTCGCTTAACTTTGCCAATGATCAATCGGCAAGAAAAGGATGTATCTTTACACACCTGGTTACAACCGTAAAATGAGCCAACTGGTTGACAGCCGCTTGTTGAAGGCCACGCCCTTCTGCCGAAGAGGTAGCATAATGAGCGTATGATGCTTCTATGGAACCAAACGAGTCTATCATGTTATGCAGTGTCTGGTCATCCGCAAGGAACCTCATCGAATGGTCTTCCCGGGGTTGCAGCTCGTAATGTTGAGTTGCAAGAGATTTTAGTCTGTCAGACATGAGATCTTTTGCTGACAGAAGATAAATTGAATCACCTGATCGGTAGGAATAAATCAAGAGAAACTCGGTTGAGCATAAGAAGATACTGAGGAAAATCAATTTCAGTAAAGCGAACTATCAATAAGAACTGATTTCGTGCCGAGTAATTCTCAAATTAGTTTGTTACACATAAACTTGAGATTGCGTTGTAATTAAAATGCCCTCTTAGCTCTCTTCTGCAGAGACAGTCTTTGTGTCGTAGGTAGGCTGGGAGAGGCCGGAAAAATCAAGAACTGAGCCTGGATGAAATCGCGTAGCTTGCTAACTTAAAGAGGGATCAGTTTATTCTTTACTCAAAAAAAAACATTCGAAAATCAAAGGCACAAGTTGAGAAGGTCCCATGTACGCTCGTGAGTGCCCTTGGGATAAAAATCTAAAACGTATCTCAATATTACCTTCCTCTAGGACTCTCTTGACAAAGTGACATGACACGCGCAATGTATCCCGGGATGCCTCTAGTTTTTTCTTCTGCATTTCCAAAATAGTTTTTCTGTTTATCCTGATCAGTTCCACCGTGGATCGTAGCTCCTTTCTACGTTGTTCTAAAGCTTTAATCTTCGCACTGATGCTCTCTTCAATATCTCTCAAGACACCATCAGCCTTCAAGTTGACTCGTGCTAACATCCAATCCAACATGGGAATGGCATTTTCCACCTTGATGCAAACACTCTTTGTTTGGTCAAGCAGCTCTGAAAGTCGTGGTCGAAGTTTGGAGTAGGCGTCCTCAAGGAACTGAGTGTCGTGTTGTTTATGATCGCCAAGGGCGCAGTTACGGCAGATACTCACATTGCAGGTGTCGCAGAATAGAGCTAGTTTCTCATCCGTGTGGGCTGAGCAGTAAGTCGGGCGGTTAAGTTCTCTGAGAGACATGCTTTTCAAGTGATCTGTTGAATAAATTGCAGTTGATCAAGACAAGTGGCACACTAGATAGTGCGGATTATCACCAGTCTCGGATCCTTGAGCTTTCGGTTTAATTCTGGCTGGTGAATTTTGACTGTCCCAGAAAAGACGTTGCAGTGCCCCCTGGTGCTTTCTACGTCCCACCACCCCCAACCCCTCCCCGCAGCGTCATAATTGTACTTTTAATTGCCTCTATCTATAATTACATGTAGTTCCATACGGGGTTTCTCAAGACCCTCAAATCGAAGAATACAAGACGATCGCTCGGACCACGTGACTCACAACGAATAGGCCGCGCGGTAAAATGAGGACTAGGTCTTAGGCAAAATTGTTGTGAAACGCTCTTCACGAATTGAATTTTGTTCCTTGTTAAAAGTATTTGACCACTAAAGTGCAGTTCGTTTAAAACAGGATCGGATTCCAAATTTTGTTTCTTTGTTTTGCCTGTATTGTTCTTGTTTTATTATTTCATGCAGTATGTAATTTTGCCAAAATAGGTAAATTGTCATTCTAGTTGAGAGGGAAAACTTTAACTTACCCAATGAGAGAAGCACATGTTGTTTTGTATCCCTCGCTCTCTTGTGAGCCTCCTCGTGGAGCTCGCACAAGTAAACCGAACATTCCTTACAACGGACACGAGCTGATGCCTCCTCGCTATCGTCGCAGATGTCGCACCTAACAGTTTCACCTTGTTGAATAAGCAGCAAATCAAGAAGTGAAACAAGAAGAGAATTCGCGGGAAGCTTTCTCACGGCGGAGCGACTATCCAGCCCCGTTTCCAGTTGACAAGTCGGACATTTGAGTATTTTGTCCTGCATGGGTCGGTTTCGCACAAAGGATTCAATACACTGGCAACAGAATGTATGCAGGCAAGGCAGAATTCGCGGATCCAAGAACAGTTTGTCGCAACTTTGACAGGTCAGATTCGTTTTGATGTTGGAAACCACATCGTCTTGCTCCGCTGTATTTGCGTCTGCTTCTTCGACGAACATGCTGCGTTAATCAGACAGACCAAAGCAGTTCTGCCGATCAATGTCCACACAGTTTAGCTCTCCGATTGCTAGAGGCTCTTCTTAAAAATGAAGCCAACAATTTCGGCTGAGGAGTTTTCTTGTGGTTCTGAAATGTGAAAAAAAAATTCCCAAAAAATTCTCCGGTTACTGGCTAAGAATGAGACTTGTGAAGAAGACGGTTCTCAGGAATAGGCAGATATTGCTAAAATAAGAATTTGATTAATTGAAAATTGTAAAATACAGACGGAGATCTAGCTGTTTGATCCGTCAGAAATGTAAAGTAATCTTATTACAAACAATGTAACTCCTACTCTTTCTTGTGGCTGTCCAACGTGTTGACATTTTTTATGAATTTCTTTGTTTGATGCACCCACAAATTATGACAACATTTCCTGAAACATTTTCAATAAGGCCCAAAAACGAGGCTTACTTGTTCGGTAGGCAATCAGTCACAATCAGCTACAACTCACCTTTCGACGCTCCGATCTCCTTCCAGTGAAAAGTTCAAGTTCTTCTCGGTTTTGTAGAGTTTTAATAGTAGGCTCGTGTGACAGCCACGAAAATCAAATAACTGAACAACGGCAATCAATAACTGCAAACATTTAAATTAAGTCGTTTAGACGTCAAACCGACAAAAAACAAAGAGCATCGCTTTTGTAGTTTGCGATTATGTTGTCGCCTATGGGAATTGATCGAGAGGCTTTCACGGGACGCGGCACTTGGCTTTAGTTGTGTACCGACTCTGTAAATTGGCCATATACATAATTGGCATATTTCAAATACAGTAACTTTGGCGTATATGTCAGCAGTCTTTTGATGACACTTTTAAAGGCCAAAAGATTTAATAGTTCCAAGAAGGCTTGGGAAAGTTACATGTGATAAAGTCCATATTTTTCACATGACCATGTAATCTTTTCAGCTGACTTTTGAACAAAAAAAAAGTTGATAAGAGTTTATGCTTCGTCTGCTGGGATGGCTTGCTAAAATGGAACTTGTAAAGCTATAGTTCAGCCTGCAGGCTCATCTGCAGCCTGTGGCAATATTATAAGTTCTTTAGCTTTTATCGCGTAGGCTAGCCCCTTGTTTTCTTGCCAATAATTAAGCGTAGCGGCTGTATGAAAACCTTCAGTATCCATGGTAACCGTGGCTTTATTTTCTCAAGAATGGTTGTTTCCCGACCGTCCCCAGTTTTATCTAGTTTTCCAATTTATCGCCGTTTCTCGCTGTGGAAATTAACTTAAAATCATGTGCTGAAATTACTCGTCATGAGAAGCCCTCTCAGGCAACTCAAGCGTTCAATCAATCCCAAGTCGCTTAGAAAAGAGATATTGACTTTCAAAAAAACTCTTAGTGCTGGACAGTTTCAAAAACCCCAATTGCAATCCGTTTTGATCTCCTTCATTTGTTCCCACCTGCGCCTTCTTCTACATTTGCAGTGTGTCATTTACATGTTTCTAAGCAGGCTCATCTGCACACATCTGCTGCCTGGTCCAAGGCTAGAAATTTTCCTTCCAATTTGCAAAGTTTCAAAGAGATAGAGAGAAGAAGTCATTATGTCACGTCACCACAGTAGAAATATTTCTGGACTGTGGACAATCTGAGAAACCGAAAACGTCACTTCAAAAGTGAAGTTGCACTGTTTCAAATTTCATCGATCTTATTCAATTTCATTTTATTTGTCGAATGTTGGCGAAATATTCTGGGGTTAAATCCGAAAGGACGCGGGGTATCTAATATTTAATAAAAGAAAAAGAAAATATTTTTGTGTTGCGTTCCGACGTACTGCATAAGGCCGGCGCGTAAAATGAGGAAGTTTCATGTCGCAATGTCGCAGTCGTGCAACGACGGCTAATAAGAAATGTACAAACAAGCGTGATGCGCGTGCAAAGTTGTTGTATTGCTGATTAATTAAACCTATTAATTTTGACGTTCTCGTTGCCGTCGCTGTCGTCCGGTTGCTTAAGCTCCCTATTTTTGTGATCCAGAAATTTTACTACCATGGGAACTCAGTGACGTCTCACCTCTCCTACCCCGGGTACAAGAGATTGTCTCGCATGCGACGAGGAGCTTCGTCGGCCACAAGCCGACACGTCTTCGGCCGAAGTCCGAAGACACAAGCGGCGAATCCAAAAAAGCCAACATCTTTCGCGCGGGTCACTTTTTAAGACCTGACCGACACCGGAAACCGCGCATGAAAAGCGTCTGACACCCTGGGTACAGTGTTCTCCTCTCTATTGATACAAATGATATCAACAAACGAATGATTTAGACAGGAAAGTACTGTTTTTTTTTTAATAGCTGTTGCTTATTTTAAAAGTTACATACATTATATTTGACGGTTTCATAGACTGATCCCCTGTGGGCTCCCGCCACTTTTAAATCTTTAACTTAAAATACTCGATTTATAACCTAAAACTTCGAAGTCAAATTAGAATCTCTTTTTTTTCCTGTATGAGGCTGTTGTTCATCCTTACTCTTGAGTGATGGGATCTTCTTTGGGTGCCTCAGCTTTGGCCTCAAACTGGAGTTTCGGTTCATAAAACAAATGGAAAGAAAATGATTATGATTACGATAACGATGGCGATACCAATAAAGATAACGATAATGATTATGGTGATGATAATGGCAACAGATTATTCCTAGCATATCCTTTTAATCTTAGAAATGGCATCAAAGATTATGCGTCATGGTAAAACGGAGAAATTATACACTTCAGTGAGTTTGAAGTGATTTAAAATAATTTGTTTGTGTTCAACAGGGTAGCGAAATGAACGAAACTTGTCATCGATTAGACATGGTCAGGTTTTGAAGGCTTGGCATTCCACCCAATGCCATCAAGTCCCGGGGGGACTCCGCATATGAAAGGGGTGGGGATACTCGTCGGAAATTTGGAATTAAACCCCTAAAGGAGACCGATCTGGGCGTGGCCCAAGCTTTTTTTGACCCCTAAAAGAGACCATGTTAAAACACAGACAAATGAGAAAACTTGGATTTATATGAATGGAGTGGATAAAACGAATTATAAATATACATATCAAATACATATTTTTATATTTTTTTGCGTGCAACCTTAAACGAGACCTTCACGGCTAAATATGATGGCATTTTGTCAAGAACACCCTAAGTGAGACCAAAGTCCGAAATTTACACCCCTAAGCGAGACTACAAGCATCCCCATCCCTTTCACATACGGAGTTCCCCCCCCCCCCCCCCCCCCCCCCCAAATCCCCCCCCCCCCCTTTTCCCCGCCCTCCTTTTCCCCCCTTTCCCTTTTTTTGGGGGGGGGGGAATTTCTCCGCCTCGCTTTTTTGTTCCCTTTTCTTGGCCAACCCTTTAAAAGGGGGCCGTGTTTCTTCGTCGTGGGGTGGTGAAGAGTTTTTTTTTTCTTTTGGGGTACCAAGGACACCCAAACCCCCCTATTATCCCCCCCCCCGAGCCCACCACCACCCCCCCCCCCTCTTCCACCGCGGGCCCCCCCCCCCCCCCCCCAGGCCTCAAGTTCCTCCCACCAGTTCTTGCCGCGCTCTCTATCTTCCCCGTTCTCTCTTTTGAGGGCGTAGGTAATTGCCATGCAGCTAGGTTGTTGCTCCTATCTTGAGCGAAGCCTTGGAATAGGCTGCAGTTTCTCCTGGATCGTGTAGGTAAGCAGTTTCTTTTCACCTTCGGGATACTTGGGACGCTATTGTAATTGGGATCGACGTAGGTTTCTGGGAAACTCCCCGCCTACCCCTCCCCTAAGCCAACATTTTGTTAGCTTAGGGGAGGGGTATGTGGGGAGTTTCCCAGAAGCCTAAATTGATCCCGTAATTGCAGTAATTGGTTGGGTCGGACATTTTGAGACATTCAATAAGCTATTTTAAATTGATGGAAAAGTCAAATAACAGTTTCAGCTAGCTTACCTAAATTAACTCCAAAAAGAGTAAAAACAACCCATGTAAGGAGTAAAAGTAACCCCATTTCGGAGTTATTTTAACTCCAGACTGGGAGTAAAAAGAACTCTTTTTCAGGAGTAAAAATGACCCAAATTCGGAGTTAAATTAGGAGTTAAAATAACCCCCAAAAAGGGGTTATCCTGTACCTAAAATTTTTACTCCATTTTTGGAGTTATAATAACTCCCTAAAAATTACGGTGTAAGGTTATAAAACAAACAATTGAACACTTTTTAATCTGGGAGGATCTTTATAGCTTGCTAGCCCAGACGCGGGATGAAAGAGAGTCGGCGTGAGGGTTGTTATTGTTAGCTGAGGAAGGAAAACCTTTGGTAAGATGTATTACAAGACAATCAATACATAACAGGATGGCCATCTGACATCAAACGTTCAAAAACAGGTAAATGGTCAAACTCTGAGTACTCAGTTCTGGAGTTTCCTTCTTGTGCTAAAACCTCCGTACTTATTGCGATTAACAATCTAAAACTGTAAAAGCCTCTCAAAATGCAACAATTTCCATTTGGATTGAATAAACGAAAAAGTCTTTATTGACCGGAACTTGATTAGAATGCTATGGTGTAGTGTGCATGCACGGTTAAGGCCGAAACGAAAACGTAATTTGAACATAAACCTCCTGTGTTACAATTGACAAAAATGTCAGACTTTCTATGGTTTAGTTGACTAAAGTCTATTGCATACCTAGATCATCTATTCGGTAAATGTAGTTTGCACTGTCATCCAATGCTCCGCATATTCCATTTAAAACCGGGCAAGCATAGGTGTGTGGGCCTGCTGTGCACTTGCCGTACTTATCGTAATTCGATGGGTTACTTGGGTTACTCACACACAAACCTGTAGGTAGAAGTATTCACAAAAATAACGTAAATCGCTAGCAGACACTTTTCGCGATCACTATTTATTTTTCCGTTTTGGAAAAGGACCACTCATATGACGAAAAGGTCAGATACCGCAGCCCGCGGGATTACCCGTTAAAACGAAGTTTTTGTACGGGAGGCTCAGTCAGGAGGCTCAACCCCTTGCCATATATGAAAATTACTTAACTAATTAAATTTGAAACGTCATCAATTCAAGTACACGCGCGTCTGCCCCAAAGTAAACAATGCAGAATATTGTAATGGCGACCGTTAAATTCTCTCCTGACAACACTGAATAAAAGTTTGCGGACCTCTCCAGAAACCAACTCTCGGTTAATTTCAAGCATTTAATTGATCTAAGTATAACTTTGGTGACATTTACAGTTTTCAAGGGCGTTTTCTTCCCTATCTCATTATTATAGGGAGCTTAAGCAACAATGACGGCAACCGCAAGGAGAACGGCAAAAAGGATTTATATTAGCAAAACAACAACTTTGCACGAGCATCATCCTTTTTTGTACATTTCTTTGCAGTCGTTGCACGACTACAACGTGAAAGTGCCTAATTTCACGTTTTGTCGAGGACGAGAACACATGACAACAACTTTCTTTTTCTTTTCGTAAACCTTGATACAGTCCTTTAGAAGTCAACTCCAAAAAAATTTGCCAACATTTGTACGAATTAAACGAGATGGAATAAGCGCGTTGTCGTTCTCGTTACTGTCGCCGTTCTCGTTGCTGTCGCCGTCGTCGTTGCGTAAAACTCCCTAATCTCCCTATTCTCTCTTGTACAGACCCAATATTCATGATCAGTCGCCTTTGACCTACCAGTTTCCCTGACTCCAAAATATCCCCATCTGTACGATTTCGCCAGACGGGCACACTTGCACACGAACTTTTTAAAATCAGCTTTGAAATAGTTACTCCATTGTAGAAGGCTTCCTCCAAAGTTTGGCTTTCCCGGGTCGGCTTCGTTGTAGAAAACTTTAGGGAGAGCAGGTTTTTTTGGGTTTTCGTTGTAGCAACCAATTGGAGTTATACTCACTTCGCAGGTTTCGTCTTCTCCGTTTATGACCTTTGGCTCTATGACAGAAGTAGAGAATTGAAAATAATGGCTGTTATGACAAGGCCAAATAAATAGAAATGGATAGATTGATGAACCAACCTCGTCCCCAGGGCTTTTCCCTCAATTTTTTGAGGGAAAAGCCCTGGGGATGAGGTTGATAGATGAACACGTACTAGATCCATGTCTAAATGTAATAGGAAAAATGCCGAGAATATGAGTGCCGAGCCATTGGCTCCTTCATTAAATCCTTTCGAGTTGCCATCGATTCTTGGGTCAATTTTCTTCATTAATTCAAATAGATCCCCTGAGGTTACTGTGTAAGTAGCTATAGAGCGTTTTTACATGACGTCATGGCGGCCATATTGGTGTTCCAAAACAATGAAACGACGGCCATGTTGGTGTACCAAGACAATCCTGTGGGAGATGAATTCTTTTCTTATACAAACGCTTTCTTTTGTTCCAATTAATCTGTATAGATGCTGGCCACGTGAGTGAAAGCGCTCTATAGCAAAATATGACGACTCAGAATATTGTGACAGACCGCCTTTAACATAAGAGAGAGGACCATTAAGACCAGAAAACGCTACGCCGTGTAACGTCAATTTAGGCTGGACGACCAGAAAGAGCACAAGCCGTGATTTCATTGACCTGAGAATGTTGATTAATTCCAGTTATGTGAAGTCTTGAGGTACTACAATCTCAGGGCAGTTTATTTACTGAATATATTTCTTACTAGGCTGTAAGCAGTGCCGTATCCAAGGGCCCGTTTCTCGAAAGTCCCGATAATTTAACGGGGCCCGCAAAGCTGTTGTTGTTTACATGCAAGATAGAGGTTTCAATAGTTTTCCATCTAACATGATAAAACTATCAGTTAATGAAACAAAATGGAGTAGTTGCTAGCCAGGACCCGCGCTCTTACTCTTTATATTTCGATTTGAAGATTTGATTTCGGGCCAGAAAAGTTACCGGGACATTCGAGAAACGGGCCCCAGACCTTGAGGTAAGGGGTGGGCGGTCTCCAAAAAAATTTTTTTCGAGCTTTGTGCCTAAGTTTGGTCTAAAAACAGGAGGGCGGCGGGCTTCTCGGTCCCCGCCACTGGCAAGCAGTCTCTTTTTTTCTTTTCAAAGTTACTTCACGCGTCGTTGTTTGCAGTCACGCTGGCTGGGATAAGAAATGGACGGATTATAAGAGAAAATGCGGACTGCAAGAAGTCTAATTTCTTACTGAGTCTGTAGACAAAATTAGCAAAATGCATGCCAGAGCAAAACTTTCTGTATTGATTGCAGGGTGCGTAGCATTTGTCAACACAGCTTGAACTGGGGCCGTCTCGGAAGTAGGTCGATTCTCCATTTTGACCACTCCAGCACTCTCCTGCAAGAAAGACACACTTTATGACCATTACATCTAGTACAACCCCACTAGCATACGAATTCCGTCATCTGATTGGCTAAAAAGTTCTCTCTATAGCCTGAGAAGACAGCCCGCGACATTTTGCGACGCCATCACTGGTTTCTGACAACTGAGGACAGACTGCAGAAATTCCATACTTATGACGTGTCACCCAGATCTGGGTAGTGACACGTCATCAGTGTCAATTCTCGGCTTGCACTGTCACGCAATGAAAAATAAAAATCCAAACCATTCAATACAGAAGGACTAGAATCTGAGAAAGGGAAAAACATTAATAAACAAAAACCCTTACCAAGAATCAGATCTGTGAAATATTTCAAATGCGAAATATTGGGAAAAACAGTTTACCTAAATTTGTAAAGCTTTGTATGGAAACGCCATGTTGGTGTCCCTTTCAGGAACACCAATATGGCCGCCGGATACCAACAGAAACATCTGTTTTCGAGTTTTCCTACTAATGCGTGAATTCTTCGCTTGAGGAACTCATAAAGATCACAGTAATATTTATTCTGAGATAANGGTGTCCCTTTCAGGAACACCAATATGGCCGCCGGATACCAACAGAAACATCTGTTTTCGAGTTTTCCTACTAATGCGTGAATTCTTCGCTTGAGGAACTCATAAAGATCACAGTAATATTTATTCTGAGATAAGGAATGTTTAGATTGCAAAATCTCCCAAAATCGGGAATGTTTTTAATCCACATAAGAGCTTTCCCGGCCGCCAGCTAAATGCCGCGTCACGCAAAAGCCTGGAAATTCAAGCGTCCTCTCTCGCAAAACGAAGAACCCTTTCGAACCAAAAATTTGTTCATGTAAAGGTTTTTAGGTACTGTAATACCTCGTGAACGTAAAAACTCAGAAGAATCGATAGTTTTTTAGTTTGATTTTTGGTGACGTCACCTGCAACCCAAGAATAGGAATTTCTGCGTTCGTTACTCAGACGTCATTTCGCCGGGAAACCCACTGGTGCCGTGGCCAAATGTCGGCTGGTTTCTCAGGCTAATCCTTCTATAGCGGGATTCTATTTCTAATCTTCTCGGACAAGGATGATAAACCATAGGCCCAGTCTTACAGCCCTTGCACATATAATAAATTATGTGTAATGTTAAAGAACTCACACGCTGTTCGTACTGATAACGTAATACTTTTGTAAACTACGCAAACAAGCGGACTGTCAGCCAGGGTCCCCCAACCAATTTAATTATCCCTGAAAATACCTGACGGAATAGAGTAGACCGTAAGATATTTTTACAATTTACAGTCTACATTTTAAGTGTATATTTACCCTTTTGACCACCTGAAATTTACCGTAAAACTGCATGCCAAAGTAAGTGAAGTTCTTGGCCTTAGCTGCATGGGCGCATCTACAAGCGAACTGAGGAACGTACACATCCCAGTTTCTCCAGTCGATCAACTTTCCGCTCCAGTTCTGAATCGAGCTATCGCGATCGTTGAAGAGGTAATCTGGCAAAGGTCTCTGCGTTGGTCTGTGTGCATCTTTGTAGCAACCAACCCTTTCAAAGGAGATCCCAGGGCAACTGGTATCCACTGCAATAGAGAATGATAATAACAACAATGATGTTGATGATGATGATGATGATGATGATGATGATGATGATGATGGTGATGATGATGATGATAATGATGATGATATTGATAATGAAAAAATTATCATTAAAATTATTTTTATTTCCTCAAGTTTTGATTGGTCGAGAGGTCATATCTATGCCCGTCTTTTTCAATGTCACTATAGTTCCAGGAACCACAGAGAGGCACTTTTTATTAGCATTTTTTATATGCTTCACATAACACCGCGACACCAGCTCTGCTGTATTTTTTTATTGTGACTAAGACTGACCGTGGAGAAGCACATTAAAATTTTTTATTAGTATTTTGTTTTTCCAGTAACACTACCACATCAGCTTGCTGTTTTTTTGTTCATTTTTTATCTCATTTTTTTTTAATCGTGTCGAAATGAAGGCTTTTACTTAAGCTCATTCTCATGTTTTTCATTTCTTCTTAACTCACAAGTATTGTAAAGAAAATTCTAGTGCAAGAAGCGAAAGAAACATGACGAAAACCCTTTCATATCCACTCTGTCAAGTGAACCTCAAAGCGGTTGCTGTATTGGAAGATATATAAATAGATCAGAAAGTCAAGTTTGAAATCTCAAAATAAAACATACCAATTTGAAAGACCATATTGCGAAAATGCTTTCCGACGCAATAACGAGAATTCTTAGTGCAGGGTTGATAGTCATCTTCAATGCAGCCACTGTAATCCAGTCCGTATTGTGAATAATCATTTATCCCACTGTGTCCTGCCCAACACTCTCCTGTCAATTATTACAAAAAAACGTAAGTCATAATTTGGTCAATTTGAGGGTTTACTTGAAACTAGGGAGACTGAGTCTATGTTGTGTTGAATGGCACTATGGGATTGTTTCGAGGGACAAACTTTGACCTGCCTTTCCTGCGCAATCTTGAAAAAGATGACGTCTCAAAACAATCCACAATATAGATAGTCGTATAAACATAACAACTTTCTTTAATTTTCCAGACATGTTTCGACGGTACATCCGTTATCTTCAGTGTTACATATTTTGAAATCGCCGTTGAATTTAAAGCGCGCGCGATCTTTCAAAGTTCGTTACATTGCGTTGTCAATATTGCGTACTAAAACAAAGTTAAATGAGTGACGCTTAGTTCTTTACAGGGAGAGAGTCAGGTTAATGTGTTTCACCTGCTGGTTGAGATCGGGCTTCTCCCATTTTATAAACATGGATTCCTTAAGCTTCACTTGGTACTTAGTGGCTGCAGAGTCCAGGATCTCGAAGCAATCCGGTGTGCAGGATGCTCTACAAAACTCTGAACCCTGCAGATGTTTAAAAACGTTCGAAGACCTGTCTGAAAGTAAGTGCTCGCGCACTCGTGTGGAGAAGTATCGGCTGGTTTCACCAACATAACAAGCATTACAACTTGCACACGAAAATTTATAGACCACACGCGTGCGTAGCCCCTCAGGGACAGCATACAATACAATTCGACATCCCACCGATCCAGTCTAGGCGCAAAAATGGTCAATAGGCCCTTCGCAAGAGACGGTCACATGGTACAAAAAACACCTTGCTGGAAGGTAAACAACGCAGTGGTACCTTGAAAAGAAAGGATATTAGCTATTTGAATGATGTCATCTCTTTGTTTTTAATTTCTTGCCCCACTGCGTCGTTAGCAATCCAGGTGTTTCTTGTCCCATGTGACCGTTTCGCGCAAAGGGACCATGCATTTGTCACGCTCATGGCAACGACTACGAAAACGTTATTTAAAAAGTGACTCGCGCTGTTTCAAACTTCATCGCGCTTATTCCATCTCGTTTAATTCGTCAAACGTTGGCAAATATTTGTGGAGTTGAATTCTAATTATATAAAGGACCGTACCAAAGTTCAGGAAAAGAAAAGGAAAGTTGTTGTCTCGTGTTCTCCTCCTCGACAAAATGTGAAATTAGGCACCTTCACTTTCTAGTCGTGCAGCGACGGCAAAGAAATCTACAATAAAGCGTGATGCACGTGCAAAGTTGTTGTTTCGCCGATCTAAATTAAACCTATTGCGTTATTCCCGTTCTCGTTGGCGTCGCCGTCTTCATTTCTTAAGCTCCCTAATGGTTATATAAGTCCTGCACGCCTAATATAATTTTTCACTGTAAGGAAAGGGGGAAAGTTGTTATGTCAAAGGCCTAATATCTAATTTACGCTAAATAGTAACCCGTTAAAAATAATGGCAAAATTATGTCATGTTTTTATAAACCAACTGTCAATTCCAACGAAAATTTTTGCACAGTTTATTACAATGGCTATCGGACTGTTGTTTCAAAGATGAGCGTCAGCTCAACCAAACATCTATCTGCTTGTTTTTTGTTCAATATTTTTTCTCCTCACTACGTGTCTTCTTGCAATTGCTGTTACTTGAATAACAATGATTTTACTTTTTTAAGAGACATATTTTTGTATTTCACTCAGTTTGGTGTCCACTTTGTGCTATATTTCACTTTCCCCCTTAACTTAAGGCCGGGGGGACTCCCATATGAAAGGGGCGGGGATAGTAGTCGGACATTTTGAATTAAAACCCTGAAGGAAATCAGTCTGGGCGTGGCCCAAACTTTTTTTGACCCCTAAAGGAGACCATTTTAAAACACAGACAAATAAATAATACAGCGACTTCTTATGATGGCAAAGACATATTTACCAAATACTTTTAAGTACGCATACGTTGTTTTAACCCTAAAAGAGACCTTTACGGTTAAATATATGGCGTTTTGCCCAGAACACCCTAGGTGAGACCAAAATCGGAAAATTACACCACTAAGCGAGACGACGAGTATCCCCGCCCCCTTTCATATGGGAGTCCCCCGGGGGCATCAAATTTGTCCTTGTATGATCAATGCGTTATAAAACAGGATGTTCACTAGAACTATGAACATGATCACCGAACATGAATTTGCTTGATATTTTAACACCTTCCCGCACTATTTTTAACAGCTAATTTGTACGGGTTACAAACAAAAACTAAAATCTTTATATTAAAGGGTTAAAATTTAGTGTTCTTACCATAGAACTGCACACCGATCAAGTCAAACCCAAGGTGTTTAGCCTTTTCAGCACAGCGGCAGATGAATCCAGGAAAATAGTCATTCCAGTTTAGCCAGTCAATTCTTCTTCCACCGTAGTTGGCAATGGAAGGATCGCGCTCGTTGTAGATATACTCGGGCAGAGCTCGTCCGGCCCCCTAGGAATTGTAGAAAGGCAATAAGCATTTATAGGAAACATATCAAACACGAAGAGGAGTGATTCATGTGGAATTTAAATAAGCACACAAGTGATAGTGAAAAACATGCATTATATTAAGGATAGCAGTGTGCAAAACGTACCCCCTTGTCAATGTAGCATCCTTTTGTCTCTAGGTCAACGCTGCAGCTACCTCGACAAAGATTTAATGCTAGAGCATAATTCACCAAAAAGCCTACAAGAGAAAATTAGTATTTATGACTGAGCAAATAACGTGATGCCCCGCCAGTTTATGAATTATCTCTTCCTTTGACAAATATCATGGTTTACTTACTGCATAGTGAGAGCCAAGAAACGACAGCAACCAACGTTTTCATATTTTTTTTTCGGAACGCAGCACCTGTGTAAAATACGAATCGTGAACAAAATGAAGCAACATTTATTAGTCAGAGTAAAAGGCCAAGATAAAGTGGCGAAATATGAAAAAGTGCCCGTAAAGTCGATTCAGCGTTAAGGGCAAGCTAATAATTTCCTAAAGTAGGTTAACGTGATTTCAATTTTAAGTTAATTAATGAGACTTTCCACAGTGGGCTGTTAGGAGGGGCCTGGACTTGTATAAGAAAATAAAATATATCGGTATTTTAAAGAAACAGAAAACACTCTAAATACTTTTTTTAACTATGTTTAACTTGCAACAATCAAAAGGAACAAAAGAAATGCCAATTTATTGAGTTAAACAGAATCGATGAAAATTTACAGATAAAGGTTAAAATCTCAGCTCTATTCCTGATTTCAGTCAAAATAGAATACTTTTTTTAGTTTGAAAGAAAAATTATGTATTTCTAGAAAGCTTTCGGTTTTGTCCAAGTTTTTGCTAGGTTAAGGATTGATTTAACTTTTGATTTACGTATCGTTAACAAACATTTTCCCAGGCCTGATTTTCAAAACCGATAGATATCAACAACTCTAAAACTAAAAAACGTATACACGTTACCTCAAAAACTTCACCAAGAAAAAGCACAGCTCTGTCGAGGTAAAAAAGCCAAACCGAGTGTGTGCTGAATGAAAGTAAAAGAGAACTTTGCTTTATATGAAATCTCTGAAGGGAAGTATGAATAAGATTTATTTCAGTAAAATAGATTTTTATCTTCAAATTTCCGAAAGTTAAATTAAACCCCACGTTTTCGCAAAGATTGTTTGTGTGTGATATCATAATGACTCAGTAATGCCTTGCTCAAAAGTAAATAGGGTAATTTTTCTATAACAGGTCGCAATTGCCAATTTGAGCAATGTTTTCTCCTTCTCAAAATTTTTCCACTTCCACATAGTAAATTGAATATAGGCTGCTTTTAAAAACAACAACAACAACAACAAAATGCGCAACTAATGGTTTAGGCACTTTAAAAATCTGGTCGTTTTCATTTTTATTTTTTTAAGTCCATCTTGAGACATTTTAATCACTGAAATTGGGACTGACATGATTTGATAAGCTCAAAACTGCAATTACGGAAAACTTTAAAAATCTAGGCGTTTTCATTTATATTTTTTTAAGTCTATCATGAGTCATTTTAATCACTGAAATTGGGAGGGGTTTTGATAAGCTCAAAACTGCACTTACGGAAAACAACCGGTAATGGTTTGATTGTATGGAAGTTTTTTTCAAGCAGATTATAGGAAACAATTTATCAATAGAATGGGATAGTCCTAGCTATTTGAATTGTAAAGACAGAACTTCTTCTTTGTGTATTCTTTCTTCCCTACTCAATCTATTCAATCATTTATTTTATTGACTTTATTTTTAATTCTATTTTAAGCTACAAAACAAAGTTTTTTCACTCCGATTTCAGTGTGACTGAAAAATTAGGAAGGAAATAACTAAGTTCTGTACGAGACCATTGGAATTAGCACTGGCGAGAAGTATGTTGAAAGGAACAAAACGATCTCATATAATTTTAGAACAATGTCTGTTCTGATCATTGCTTTGCCAAGTCACTATAACTTTGACATTCAAGTGCTGTTAAAAAATTACTCTTTTCTGGAAAACGCTAGAAACCTATACGGTCGAGCTTATTCCGTTTCATTAGTGATGAAGCACACAATTGTAATTAAGTCCGCGTGGAAATAGTCCCTCACAGGGCTACTTCTGGTATTATTTCCCCGATACCCAATTCAGTACACCTTGTAGAAGAGAAACCAAGGGTGCTACGTTCATTGTCTAAGGAGAGAACGAAGACTGTTCTCAGTGTTATGGCATTTATACCACCTCTAACTTAGGGGACGGGCCATTAGAAAAGTTAGGGGGAGGAGGGGCAAATTTTGAACTTTATTTTTTAGGCCAGTGCAAAAATATTTTAGGGCTACTCTACGTGCATGGATTTTTTTCATTTATTTTCCCTTGTAGGAATTTTCCTCTTTGTACTTTGCCCGTCCTCCCATAACTTTCTATAATGGTCCTTCCCTAATTATAATAAAAAGCAAACAGGAAGCTTTGTATCACAAGTCGATCGAACACACTGGCCGTAAGTCATGTCCATTTATAATTTATTTCCGTAACTATCATTTAACATTAAGTGAAATCGTCAGGAAATGAACGACTAATCTTTCATGAAAAAGACTCAGGTAAAATATAGCATTATATGGAAAAAGAGAAGTGTCATGTTCTGTGCCCACTTCATCTCTAGATCTGTCCATTAATTGTTCCTTAACTATTACGCGTGCAAACATTCAATAAGGCCTGAACAATACGTTAAGATTTAAATCGGTTTACAGCCTTGAAAAATGTGTTTTTTACCCGATTTGTTTGAAAAGAGGAAGGGACACGCCATCAATTTGGAAATAATTCCACGTTTTTAAATATCAATCTGTCTTGTAGATCCATCCGCCACCTGTTTGATTCATACCTGATTCTCCAGCGACACTCGTTTTGGGGCAGGGAAGAACATATTACACAGTTTTTCAGGGTGTCAAGAAATCCATTCAAGTCTCTGTAATAGTTTTTCTTAATAACTAGAAAAGCTAAAATCTTTTTCTTTTTGCCACGGTGGTCTGTTGAGCTGAAAGCTTTCGCTCCAATTCTGAAACCTTGCTCTTGAGTGATGTGATCTCCTTTTGCGCTTCAGCTTTGGCAAACTGGAGTTTCTGTTCAAAAAAAATACATGATGACAAAATATAACTGTAAACGGAGATTTGTTGTACATAGATTAGGAAACCAATTTTTCCCCCGGCCCACCCTACTTTATCTCTTGGACATGGGTGGAGAAAATAAAAGGTAGAGAGAACCTCTCCTCTCTTTCACCCTTTATGCCTAAATTCCCCAGTATTATTGGCCTCTTCAAAGGATGAACTAAAAATACGTTTATCACACAACCTCGTGAGCCTAGCTTGAGCCTGTAATAGACCAACAGTATGAATATAAGAAAACACTCTTCGCCAGGCCTTTGGCCCCTCTTCGCGAGGAACTATATCTTCTGAACATAGTAAAGGACGATAGCTTTTACATGGTTACCTTTCTAAATATGTCGCTGTTGGCATTAGACGTTTGACCTCCCTGAGCCTTTGCGTTGCTTCTTTGGAGCTTCAATAGTTTTGCGTCATACTAAAACGTGAAAATTACATGCTTGATGATACTTTAAGTCCTTTGCTTGAGGACCTTTGAACAGCTATCTATTTTTGGGTTTTACCTTGCAAATACTATCCAAACTATAAGAAACTATATAGCAAGCATGCCTTCGGTTCCACGATAGTCTATTACGGCCGTTATGAAGACCTCAGTGGCAGTTTAAGTTCAGTGGTGGATTGAGCCGTTAAGATTGGGATATTCAAACACACACTACTAACCAAAATACTGATTAGAATAAAATTTGAATTCGGGAACAGACAAAAAAAGGATGTCGAGAACAAAGTAAAAGTCAAGGGGAAACCACAGGTAACCCAGGCTCTGTGATAGTACCACAGTACGGTTCTAGTAAAATTACAGTGTTTGTATGGGGTAAAAATATCATCCTAAAATTTCTAGGAAATACTAAATAAAGATCAATGACACTTACTCTGCAGTTAGTTGTTGTTGTCCTTATTGCTCCAACGAAGTTTCGTGATAATTTGCAGTAATTTGTTCAAATTCACTCTTTATCATGTTTATACAATAATAATATACAAGGTAGGAGACACGAGATGCCATTTTCGCTCTCATTCAACACAACTTTCAGAACTTTTTCCACGAAATTCGAACTCCAACGGTAAAATAAACAATATATAGAAACAAATATAGAAACCAGTGAAGCTTTCCCAGATAGAGAAATGAATCCCACAGACTTTGACAAACTCGAAGGATATAATCCAAACATACCGAGCTTTTAGAATATGCTCGCCGAATCAACGCGCGGCCAAGAAAATGAGGCCTGGGCACTCTACAAAAAAATTCCATCCCGGGAGTCCTGGGGTGACCTTTCTGGGGACCGATACATCATTTGCCTAACGCCACCCTCCCCTGCTGGAAAAATACTTGATAGAAGGCAATTGTTCTTCCTAGCCAATCACAATTCGCCAGAGCAAACCCCGCACACGGGCCTAAATTTAAATGGCTACAAAAATTAAATAAAACCAGAGTAGTCTGCCAAGTTACAAGGCACCCCATTTCTTTTACTAAGGAATGCAAATAACAGTAATGAAACTATGAAATAACAACGCTAAATACTTACAAGGCGGGCTAAAAACAAGGTTGAACTGTGAACTCTCGAGCGAAACGATCGTAAATAAACGGGTGACGCTTACAAAATAATGTCAAAAATTATACAGAAAATTCCGACAGAATATGAATTGCGATAACTGAGACGAATGTGAAAGGCATGTGCACCAGTAAACAAAGAACTAGCGCGATTAGCACAGGAGACCGAAACATGAATTGTCCATCATCCATTAAGTTCGGAACAGGACCCACAATTTTTCATACCTCGGGAGATTTCGATTTGTGTGTGATTAACGACTTCCAAAATTCTCCGGCTAGACATTGAAACTTCGTCCCAGATTAAACAGTTTATGTTATTGGCGTTTTCAGAAACTACAGTATACTGTTTGAAAATGACCTCTTAACCCCTTAAACCAAGGCAGCTCGGCTGTTTTTAGTCCGCAGAACGAGTGGACAGTGGATGCATGCCCATCACTATATGGTTCCTGCGATTCCACTTGAACAAATGATCGCCTTGCGCTTTCCCGATCTCGTCAGCTCTTTATATATTTACATAACCAAAAAACGATTTCCCCATACCACCCTGACCTGTTATAAAGACATTGTGTCCCTCTCGAACTATATTCAGCACCTGGCGCTGGTCCTCAGAGAGTCTATCAAACATCAATAGGGCAAGGTTATAAGTGCAAAGGAAATAACAAAGAAGAAGGATTAACAAAACTTATAACGAGCAAAAGATATAAGTGAATTTTGGCTCTTACCGTGGCATTTGTACAACAGGACCAAATTCAAAGAGAGGTGTCACGAAACTCACGATGGTTCACACATTTGACTGATAGAACGTTCAGTTGTATTGACAAGAAGTCGGCGTGTTACGGCAGCATTAATGGCTAAATATGTTAATAGTGCTAGTTCTTTGTTTACTGGTGCACATGCCTTTCACATTCGTCTCAGTTATTGCAATTCATATTCTGTCGGAATATTTTACCCCATACAAACACTGTAATTTTTCTAGAACCGTACTGTGGTGCTATCAAAGAGCCTGGGTCACCTGTGGGGCAACTTCTTTACACGCGTTCACCTCTAAACGCATCTTGACTATTTCTGTGTGGTTAGCATGATTTGTGTCAACCAATTGCTTCTGCAATTGTCGCACTTCATCTGCTTTCTCTTGTAAGGACTTTTGTAATTCTGTAATTTCTCTTCTGCCTAGGGAAAAGAAAGGAACGACCCTGTAATGCGACCAATATATTATGACTTAAGCACCGACGGATTTATGGGGATTGACGCGATAAGGTCAACGCAACTTGGCTACGGGTTTTCAAGTAAAGTGCTACCTTGAAATAGACATAGGGCTAGTTCCTAGGGACGGAGCAAAGCCTAAATTCGCCTGAAAGATAAGGTGCCGCTAGACAAAGTATGGTTTTCGGGGTCTTGAGTCGGCTTAAACAGGGTCACGAAACAGGGTATATAACACATTATGTATTATTTATTTTAACCATTGGCAGATCATGATGCATTGTGTCAGCATCAGTAGAATCGATGAAAGCACTGCCCTGAGACGAACCCACTTAGATAATAAAGAGCGTATCGATGCCTTTTAAGTAGCAAAACAATTCTTACTCTGTTGAAGAGTCTCTTCCTTGAATTTTAGGAGCTCCTGTCTGTGAGCTTGCTCTGAAATCTCAAGATTCTTAAATGCTTCAGACATTTGGAGTTTGTGTTCCTTTAAGACCAAAAAAAAAATTAAGGATATATCTTATTTAATTAATAGGCAATTAGAGCTTGTTGCAAATGCCTTATACTGTAGCAATTGCATAACCCGACTTGAAATATTGCCATAAAAACAGGAAACGTACGTTGAGCTTTATGTAAATGGTAAACTTCAACCGTCGAACTATTAAATGGAAAAAGAAATTGCCATATATATCAAAACAAATTGTCTCGTTTTCAGCTATTTTGGACATTGAAATAATATGAAAATTTAATCACGTAAATATTCAGAGGATGAGAAGGATATATAAACCTTTTCCAGGCTGTTGAATTTTTCTTCCATCTTCGAGATCTGCGATTTTAGACCCTCATTCTCTTCTAAAGAAACAAAGGGAACACCTGGATCATATAGTTAAAATATTTTTGTTTTTGAAGTACGGAAGGCAAAGAAGAAGCAAGAAATATAGGGAGGAAATGATGGGATGCTGAGGGGTGGAAAAAAGTGATAAAAAAAAGAACTTAAATAAAAATGATAGAGAAGGTTGGCGAGGATCTGCCGTTAGCTAAACTATTATATTTGCCGCCTTCTGTTAATACTGAAGTCATGAATTCGATGACAAAACCAACTGAACTAAAAGAGTCTTTTTGGAATTAGTGTATGTATGCTGATTGAAATTTAAATAAAAATGATAGAGAAGGTTGGCGAGGATCTGCCGTTAGCTAGGCTATTATATTTGACGCCTTCTGTTAATACTGAAGTCATGAATTCGATGACAAAACCAACTGAACTATAAAAAAAAGCTTTTCGGAATTAGTGTATGTATGCTGGTTGATAGTATAGCAAATGGTCGGGAAAGCCTTTAGGAATGAAAGAAGAAGAAAGCTAAGAGAAATGGTTGGTAATTAAGTGTCAAGTGGTTGTCTGCCATTTATTAAGAAATACCATCAGAACGAGTTCTTTCACTGTAAAAAAAAATAAAAATAAATAATAAATAATAATAATGATAATAAAAATACCTTCCTGGTCACAGCGTTTGGATAAAACTCCTTGGAGACTGTCTATAATTCCTTTTAACTTTCCAGCGTCTAAAAGGTCGAGGAATATAGAGAAGGACTTCAAATTTAAAATGTGGACATGGGGCACAGGTACAGAGGCTTTCATTTATGAATACCTGGTAGACCCACCTTCCAATGCAATCGTTTCTGCTTCTTGGCTCGTTTCAAGTTTTCTTGTGAGGGAACGGATCTCCATTTTAAGGCAATTGTTTTCGTGAGCCGCATCTCTTAATGCCTGTAAATTTATACGTCAACGGGAAAAAAATTACTTCTAATAAAATAAGCTCAAAACTAATCTTAAATTGTTTTTAGCTTGAGCTCAATATTTATATTTCTAATCAATAATAAGTTAGGTAGTAAAACCTCAACTTACCGTTTGCCATTGCAAGAATTCTTGAATCAAGTTATCCAAGTCAACTTGCTTGTTCGTCTTTGCGTTTGAAGAGGTCATGTTTTTTAAAAGCTAACCCTGAGAATCAAAACTGTTTGGCAAAAACAAATCATTGTTGTTGAAATATGAACTTCTAGGATATACACGACTTTCAGTCAAACTCATAACAAACTCAGTCAAGCTCAAACTTACGACAACCAACAACAAGTGTGTTTTTCGCTTCTCCTCTGCTCCGACAGATTTTAACATCGTCGCGTCGTTGTCCAAGAACAACTAACTGAATGCAGCTTGAGAAAAAGTTGCAGTTTTAGGAAAGCAAAATTTTGGCTTACGTATTTACAACAACACCAAAAAAAAAAATCAATAGTCAACTACACTGAAACGCTTCATTAAAATTTGCTACTTTTCTTGTTGACAACAAACTTACAAGTTTTGGCGGGAAAACGCGTCGGCGTCGCGACTCGCGTGAGGTCCGGCGTCCAGGACTTTGGACGAGCCTTTAAGGGCCTCCGCCATGAAATTCGCCTCATGAATTTTTGTTTTCTTCTGTTAAAAGTAGAATCTCAAGGAAGAGCGAGAGATATCCTACATGCAAAGGCTCCTCAATAGCGGTAAAGTTAAGTCCTCCTTAGCTTTATACAACTTATCTAAAAGGAGCGAACGGCCTTTTTCATCTCTCCCAACGATTGGAATAAGTTCCACAGAAACTCATTTTGGAATCGAGAATCCAAGACTGTCTTAGATTACCCCACGTACATGGGGCGATATGATGGGAAATCCATTCCCCTTTATCCATTCCCCACTCCCGCTTGCTCTAAGAACTCTCAACCAATCAGAGAGTGAGAAGGAGGACTCTTTCTCCAGACGATCAGCTACCACAATGGATCAATCGCACGTTAGTGAATTACACAGGAAATATTTCGAAAAAATAAAAATTCAAGCTAAAGCGACATTGATAAGTAGGCGACAGATGCTCTGAGCGTTAGGCTCTTGAAATTCGAAATTCGAATGTAAAGAGACAGGTCATGGTAGGCGGAAAGGGGTACAGTAAGGAGGGGGGAGGGGGGAGGACCACGCCCTCTTTCAAAATGTAACACCAGGTCACTCAAACAAGCAAACAAATACACAACTAGCCAAAACAAGAGGAAAGTCACTTCCATCTGTTTTAAAGTTTATTCAACTTATTTTAGAAAAAAATCTGTTACCTCTAATAACTGTTTAATACCTCTGCAAATAAATTTCATAACTTAGCTACAAATTAAAGGCAGGGTAAATAAATATGATAATAACAACTCTACCTAAATGCACTTTTATTCCCAAAACAATAGCCTGTAAAACCGCTTTATCTTTCCTTTACCCAAATAGCAGGGCAAAAAGGATAGGAAATAACTTTTTAGGCTATTTGGAAAGGAAGATGCCTTGTTGCTTAATAATAGGCATGCTAATTATTTACCAATAACATTTTAATTTACTGAATACCTAAAAACGTAGCAGTCACAAAACAAGTACTGTTACGGTCAAATCCACCTTTATCCCCAGGGTGGTTTAATCCCCCTTTGCTCTGGAGAGGAGGTTGGGCAAAGCCCCTTCTGACAGAAACCAGGTACTATGGTAACATTAAAGACCTTAAAATACACCGTTTCTGTATACGGGTTTCTGTGTATGGGGATCCCATACGTGTATAATAAAGGAAACATGTTTCCCCAAATGTGGTATTGGTATCATCACTCCAGCCTGTAGCCTAGTTGTTACTCACTGGTAATAGACTGCTGTCCATCCGTATTCATGGTTAAGGTATCTGTCGTTCCTGTAGCTGTAAACTGGAAACAGTGTATCTCAGGGTCTCTGAATGGTAGACACTTTTCTGAGATGAATATAGATACTCCACGATCCTCTAACGTCGTCAACTAAAACTCCCTGTAAGTAAAGCAACTGACTGAACTGCTTGAAACTTACTGCAATGTACTCTTCTTAATACGAATATTAGTCTGACACAACTTCTGTTGTGTGGAAGAGATTTAACTGTACACCAAAATAAACTGCAAAATGAAAACTTGGCAGTCACATACCTAAAAAAAATTTAGACAAACTGGGTTTGCTACAACTTTTCTTACCTTTGCAAATCTAAACCTTAGTATAACACAAGTTCTTTCAAACCAAATTTAAATCACTTGGACAAGAATAACAACGCTTTCCTTTGTCTATATAACATTAAATGTCTCATGAAACCAGGGAAGAACTTATGGGATATCCACATCAGCTCTAATGTAAGCAGCAAGATGAGATCTTACATTTCACTGATGAAACATACGGCCAGTCTGGAATTGAAGCAAGTGTTCTTATATCCTTAAAGGCCAAGTTTTGTCTTTCATGTTTTGGTTTGCACTTTTTTTATATACAGCTGTAAGAGTTTGTTAATCAAGGTTCAATTGTATAGTCAATCCTCTGTTACAAGTAAACAACACGCTGGTGACTCATTCCCAGAAAAGAATCACCTTTGAAACTTAGTAGCATGTAAATGAAACATAAAGCTGTCGGTAATTTTACTTCTAATGCGCATGGAATTATCCGTTGCAATCTTCATGTAAACAAAACAAGTTTTTCATGAATAAAAAATAAAAATGTAACTGACCGAACGGTATTGCAATTTGTTGTCTTCATGGATGAATCCTCTGCACACTTAACTGTTTTAAGCCACTTGGGCAATAAATAATATTAATGAATAACTTTTTATTTTTTTTCTGTCATCTTCAAAGGGAAAATGCCTGTTAAGTTTAGGCCCCTTAAAGAAGTCCCGTGGAAAAAAAAATGGTACACATAAGGCCATGTCCACTCGAATTCAGTCATTTTTGAAACTGCATAATTTTTATCCGGAATCTAGAGAGCAGTTTCAAAACAAGGGAGTTTCGGTGACCAGATTCACTGGTTTCATGTGGACAGAGGGCTGATTCGTGTTAAAAAAATTAAAATGCAGACTCCTGAAACGTATCCAGATTTGCTTGGATGTAACCTAAAAATACTGTCAAGTAAACATACGTTTCTTGAAATTCCAAAGGCTTCCCTATTTTAAAAATATAATGTAATTTACAGTACATTTACCAAAGACTATTTCTTCAGCTTGTTTTATTCATTAATTTTTTCTGCTGTGGATTAGTATTACCAAATGTTCACCACAAATTGCAGTCAGAAGTACTGTCCTTAGTAGAAACCAAAGCATGAACACCTTTGATGTTTTCGCTTCCTGAGCTTTCCTTCTCTCTTTACTTTTAATCCATCGTTTGCAAGGGAAACGACGTCAATGTCTCCATACATGTTTTCCCCCGTCATGGTTGATACTTTTGTTAAGTGGCATATCGCACATATGTCAGTTTCATGATGCATAAAAAAACTGATTGAAGATAACTTCACGCTCAGGCGACCGATCTGCATTACTTCCTCTGGTGTTGAAATGCACCTCCAGTGATTTATGTACCTTTCCATTCGCTTCATTTTCACTATATTATCCAAGAACTATATCCCACCTCCTTTAACAAGCAAGAGCAACAATGAGATTGGCACACATTTCCATGAATTCCATAACGTGATGTGAGCCAGTGTGACCAGGAGAGCTCAAGTTATCGGAATCTTTAAGGCTGCTAAAAGAAGAATTACATGATGATTTCCGGGAGGATTTTCCAGATGTTATAACTCCCTCTGAATGTTCTGGAGGGTCTATGCAAGGGAGGCTTTTAAAGTCCAACAAATAACTCTTGTGGTCAACTTGGTATAACTGCAAGGCGATCTTGGTCTACAAAATGAAGAAACAAAATCATAGTTTATAAAGAGCGTGCTGAAATAACATCATCAGAACTTTTTTTTTCTGTTCTCCCTATCATAGTGTAAAAAACATACAAAATGCCAATAAAAAGTATGAGTTGTTCGTGTTTTTGTTAACATTGAATTTTGCAAAAAGTTACTGATTAGATCAAAATGCTCAAACTATATCGTAGAGACAACTTATCAAAATACTTACATATTTTCCTGTGCCGTTATTGTGACGTATCACTCGAAGATGAAAGGGATTTATTATTTTCCATTCCTACAGAAGTCAAAAAACCTCATTAGTTATAATAGTTACCTGCAATAATTCTCACAAACACATCCAAGTACATGAACTATTGTCAACACAAGGACAGTGTTTTTCGGGGTATTATGATTTTTCCAATATGGACACATATTTTCACTATAATTAAGATATACAGCAATGAAAGTTTTTAGTTAATTTACATTTCTGTAAAAAAAATGACGCTAACATTTTTGCAACTTCTTTATAAAACTTTTTATTACAAAGGCTACTAATCAGCTAGTTAAAACTTCATAAGTGGTGATGACTAGAACAGCAAGTGTAGAATGAGACCAGGGGAATGTACACATATGCGGTAAATGAACATTAACAATCACTTAAAATTCCAATGAATTTCAAGAGAGCACTTACATATCCTAGAGACATCATGGCTCGGTAGACTTCGCCCATTATGTCATTTGGCTTACTCTGTGACCGAATACCTGTTGTAAGAAATGACACAAATAAACAACTTGTAATCAAAAATAAAAATTATTAACATGGTTTTTTCTCAAAAATAATGTAAAATATGATTCAGGGCAAGACTTCTCAAGACAAAATAAAAAAACATGAAAAGACTCAATTAACTAAATATAGGCTATAGTTGCCATTATTCATTCCCTCTAGTAGCTGATGATTCTTTGTGGATTTAATCCAACACTGATAAGTAGTTTAGCTGAACTATTTCGCCCCACAGGAAAAAATTCAATGGCAGATTCAAATTCCTTTGTACAAAATCCTAAACGTTCTGACAAAGAGGTTTAATCTGAATGGTAACACCATAGGATTTCATTCACAGATTTTATTGTAAGAAGGACAAATTAACTCACCATGAAGTGGTCCAATACTATCGAGAAACGATTTGATAGCTTTATTATTGTGGCATTATTTTCATTAATATATAACTTTCATTAACATGTCAATGGACACATATAATGATTTCCAAGTCCCAAACTGACTACTAGACTGACCAGGCTTCCTTGACTTTTACAGCTGGTGGTTGTACAAACTATCTGTATGCCTAATACAAACTTACCTAAATGCCATTTGGGTCGCTTTCCCAGTGCTAACCTGAGGTATGGCACTTTCTTGGATGGTGTAGTGGGAAGAGCAGTCGACCCAGTTCTTAAAACATCAACTGGAGTGGATGAGGGTCGCTGCGTTGCTGTTGTGGTCTGGCAAAAAAAACCGCAGATCTTTAATAATACTTACTTGTCTAATAAACTTAATACTAAATGCATTTTTCAGGTAACAAGCTGGAGCAATCTCCTCACTGTTACTCGACCTTAAATGAATGTTTTCGACTTGTTAAAAATGCGTATATTGTGGGTGCAAAGAAATTCAGTTTTACAGATTGTCCTTTGGGCAAGCTGTAGCTATCATGTTTCACTGTAAGAGTCCTTTCAACTATACCTCCCTCAACCCCCCCCCCCCCCCCCCCCACCATCGACCCTAAATGTATGTTTTTGACTTTTTAAAAAAGGGTATTTTTTGGGGTCAAAAAAATTTATTTTTACAGATTTTTCTTTTGGCCAGGTGTAGCTATCATTTTTCCCTTTAAAAGTCCTTTCCACCATTCCCCCCCCCCCCCCCCCCCCCCCCCGGAAATTCTTTGATGAGCTAACCCTGCTGTTTGAATAACAATTTTTATAAACACAGACACGTACCACAAGAGATGGCGAATCTTTCACAATAAATGCAGAGGTAGGTGGAGAAACAGATGAGTAGAACTCCTGTACATGTAGTTTTCCCTCGCCTTCAGCTGTAAAAAAAATAAATAAATAAAGTTTATCCCAATGCCTAATAAACCTGTTCCTCCAAAGAAACCGGTCACATCCCCAATACTGAACTTACCAAGCATTCTCATTCTTTTGTTGTCGAGTATAAGGTGATAAGCTATCTTCAGTTGATCATGTGTATCTCCATTCTTTATTGCCCATCTCACATCAGTTTCATGACAGTTTAGTTTCTGTTGAGTAAAAAAATATATATAGTGGAACACATCATTAAATTGTCTTTCAGACAAATAAACTACAGTGACTACAAACATATACCACCACTGCTGGCTCAAGCAATTCTGAGGAACTGAGGGGTGGGGAGGGGAGGGGAGGGAAGGGAAATCATTTCACATACATCATAGAAATGTAAAAAGCCCAACAGACCTATTTGTCTAACTCAATGTTGTACCCAATTCGAATCTTCCGGGGTTAAGAATTCTTTGTGTATTGTATTTGCATTATAAAGTGGCATTCTCATTTAAATGACAAGGAATTCCTGAAACAAAACATTTCCTTTCCAAAGGGTTTGAATTGGGTACAACATTGAGTTAGCCGAACAGGTCAATGGGGATGTCTTTTCAGATTAACAAGTTTAAGTTAAACAATGCCCCTAATGATGTAATTTTAAAAAAATTAAAATGACACAGGAAACACTCGATGTGAAAGTAATTGATGGTCAGACTAAAAGATTTGATTCACAGAGTCAAAGGTTTAGAATTACATACAAAACCAAATCACAAGAAAAGTAGTCAGTTATACATACAAAAGAAGATAAGTAAAATATTATAAAGAGTAAGAAATTCCAACCTCACAAACTTGTGTCAAGCACTCTTGGTCAATGACATCACTTTCTAATTTTGATGATGGAAACAGATAAATTGGAAGATCTTTTCTGAACCATTCATGATTTCTGAAGGAAAAACCGGGAGTGATACAGTGTATTTAAATAATTATTAAAGATCAAACACTCACATCAGACAAAGCAATCAACTTTAAAAGATGACTGTACATTGTACACGTAAATATCTTCATTGCTTTTCTTTCTTGAACAGGGAAAATAATCTTATATGTTTATATCAAAATTGTCCCTCAAAATGAGACAATTACATGTACCACAAAAAGTCAAAGCTTCATTAACACAATGACAAGGAATCAAATACATCATTGATCACTATCATTCTTTGACTTCTTTCTTCTTGCAAGAATAATTTAATTATTTTGTTACCATGAAACAAAGAACTTATTTCCCCTGCATTTTCTATACATGTAGATTCATTATCTCAACAACATGCTTTTGTAGGTGTTAAGTCAAGCTACAGATCTTTAAGGACAACAAAAGCAAAATCATGAATGAGAAATAATAAAACATTTACAAATTTTTCACAAAATGGACAGTACTCAAGCAATACCTTTTTGAGATGCAGTAATTTCTAATTTTCACATGAAGACAACTCAATACAGTATATCCAACTCACTTTATCTGTTGCATTGTAGCTCTTTTCATTGGATCAACTTGGAGCATTGAAGAGAGAAGACTACTGGTTTCCGCTGAAAGATGTGACGGGATGTAAAACACACCACCTGAAGGAAATAACAATAATAATAATTTTTATTTAAGAGAAAATACTACCAAACCATACAAAATTAATAGCTACATACATCCTGTACCAGGGGAAAAAAGAAAGAGATAGAGAGTAGAACTACCAACCTTTAATTTTCTTGAAAAGAGTTGGTATGTGCTCATCATCGAATGGAAGCTGAAAGGAGAAAAACAAACCAAAATAAGTGGAGGACTTACCAAAGATGTTATTTTCTGCCATTACAAAACAGAGAAAGGGAATTTTAGAATTCAAAGAGAAGGTTTTTTAAATTTGATACTCACACTTCCACATAAAAGGGCATAAAGAATCACACCACAGCTCCATATATCAACTTCTTGTCCTGCATAAAGCCTGCAAAAGAACAGCAGCAATCATTAATAACAGTAATAATAATAATTCCGTTATTTACCCCTGGCAGTATTTATAGCACTAATGCTAGTGACAATTCAAATTGACCTTAACAGGGTTAAGAATCCCAGCTGGCTGGAGGCAAACCAGCTGGCTATTTACAAGCATGGTCGAGGATTTGAATTTGCGGGACTACTGCAAACAAATCAAGCTAGCGGTCAGAGTGGGACTTGAACTCGGGGACTCCGAATTGCAAGTCCGGCGCTCTAAACAGTCGGCCACGCTGCCTTCTTAGGAGTCTGTTTTACAGAGGTGTCAAGAGAGTCTAGTCAGCTGTAGTAAATAATGTCAAGAAAATGGATGTTGAAGAGCTTTATGAACCTGGTTCCTTTTTATGTACTACCACTGTATGTCAACAAGCAGACTTACTTTCCAGAAATAACCTCAGGTGCAGCATAGTTAGGTGATCCACAACTTGTTCGAAGAAATTCTCCATCAGTCATCATGTTGGAGAGACCAAAATCGGCAATCTTTACATTTGCTTGCGCATCCAGCAAGAGATTTTCTGGTTTAAGATCCCTAATCAAATAATTTGAAACATTTAACTGAATAAGATGACAATTTAGCGATATCAAGCTAATCTAAGGCAAACAGTAGTCGGGAAATACTGGTCGAGTTCAATATTGGCAATCAAAAGGGACAAAAAAGTCAGGGTTTTTTCACAATATTAACTTATTAATAGGCACATTAACCCTTTAAGCCCCATTATCCACATACAAATTCTCCAAACTGATCTCCATACATTTCCTTACAGAATTAGTTGAGAGAATTTGTTCAAAGATCAAAGCATTTTCCCTTAGGTGATCATTTTATTTATTCTCATAAACTTTTCTTTTAATTATTATTGGTATTGTTAGGAGAAAATTGATGTTGGTCACTCCTGGGACTTAAGGGGTTAAAGAGGATACGTATAAAGAGTGGGTGCTGGCAATGAGCAACACTGAGGCAAAGACATAAAAAATAAACAGAGCTACATGTAACTGATAGGGTAACCATGGCAAGCTCCAATGACACCTGTCACACTGAGGATACTCAAGGGGTGTTTATGAGCAAGATTTGCGCTAAAATGAAATTCTTGAAACTGGTACAGCAATTTCGGTGAACTTGCACTGGTGTGACTTATTCTGTTACATGGCTCTTTCTAGTGGTATCATGCAAACAAAATTTGTTAATACAGAGCCTAGAAAAGGAACTGGGCCGTGAAGTGGCACCAGGAATTAAAAAAAGAAGATTGTCACAAATAAGTACAGAAAAAGTACAGAAAAGCCATAATTTACAACCAGTCTCCTGCCAGTTAATCACGATTATAATAACCCTGTTACGCTGTACCAAGAAAGACACCATTCCATACCTGTGGACCACCATGTGTCTGTGACAATAATCTACTCCAGATATAATCTGTTGAAAAAACCTGCGTGCCTCTCTTTCTTCAAGCTAAAAATACAAAACAGCAGAGTAAAGTAATGCAATTAGATAATCATCAGGGTTCTCATTAAGTTTTAAAGTAGACAGCTAGGATGTAAAAGTAGACGGATTGGCAGTCAAGTGCGGTAGGCAATTTGAAGATTTCACATCATCACTTTACCAATTTTCCCCCAAAAGCAGATGGCTAAGACCTCAAAGTAGCCAGTTTTCTAGTTGGTTGCCGGCACTTAATGAGAACCGAATCACATTACATGTTCAAGACGGGTTTTAGCACCAGTCATTAATAGTACATGAACAATAAATCTTATTATTGAAGCATGAGAATTTATAAGCAGCAAAGCACCTTAGCTCACGTGCATCTTAACAGCACTGAATTTGATCCTAGAAGGCCCACGGATGCTTACCTTTCCATGCTTTAGAATGTAGTCAAACAATTCCCCTCCTGACACATACTCCATAACCATGAATATATCCGAAGGAGTGCTAATGACCTGATACCTGTATACAACAATCAAAAATAACAACAGGCATTAATGATGACTCAGTAGTGAGGAGTTTGTAGATCAAAGACATCTTTGATAAATGGGGTAATTTATTTTGGAGAATCAGTGTTTTCAAAATCAGCCGTCGGCCGTCGCATCCCACGGCAACTTTTTGATTTGCGACGCCTACTTTCCCTTAGGTAAATTATATGACAAATAAAACTTTTGATAAAAAGTGGTAAGTGTTCACAAAGCTGTTGCGAGCAAGCAAACTTGAAATTTTTCTGGAGAATTTCGCCAAAACATCTTGAGTCTGCTTTTAAAATACGTTCTCTGCGTAACGTTGAGGACGAGTCGAAGACTGGGTCTCAGTTACAGGGAACATTGTAGTTAGCGGTTTCTGAAGCGACTCTATATAAAACGCCACATTTCGTCTCCAAGAACACGGCAGAATGGCAGAAAAGCGACAGCGTGGTTTACGGGAGATGTGGTCGCTGACAGTGACAAACAAGAAAAAGAAAAAGGATGCTGCGGGTAATAATGTGGTTAAAGCGTACCCTAATATTGTGGTTAATAAAGTTACTAAAAGCATCAAAATTTATCAGTATTTTCGATATCTAAAATTTGCTAGTTCTGCGTCTCAAAATGCGGGAAAATGCGCCTCCAAGAGTCTAGAAATTCAAAATTTCCTGGGGGGGCATGCCCCCAGACCCCCCTAGAGAGCAAGGCCCTCCGGGCCTTGCAACTCCTACTCAAATAAACGCAACTCCTACTTCAAAAACTGTTGAAAACCCTGAGAATAGATGCTCAGCTGACCCTCTGGAATAGTACAGAATAAATATTATAAAAATCAAGAATAATTTTTACAACAAATTTTGTTAGCCAGGAATTAGTTAAGGCCAGCAAAGTAAAATCACATTTCATGATTTCAGGATTTGTAATGGGTTAATCGCACCAACACTCCTTGAGATAATCTCCCATCACTCCAGTCTCCCTTTTTTGATCACACAGCACTGAAATACTAGAATCTTAAATATCTAAAAGTTCGAAGTTCAGTGATCATGCATTCAGATTGCACAATTTGGATTAAAAGAAAGTAAACTGATTAAACTCACTGTATCAAAGGAGAAAAGAAGATATTTTTTGCCACGTGATAAAACTTCCATTCATTAATAGGGGTCAAGATCATTTCAAGCAAAAGCTCAGTCGCTAGCCCAATACTTACAGTTTAATAATGTGTGGATGTCTGAAAAGCTTTAAGTTTTGAATCTCCCTTCTTATTTTTCCTACAACATCTAGGTTCTTTATCTTTTGTCTGTTGAGGATCTTAACTGCAACTTTGTGGCCTGTCAGTTGATGTACTGCCACTAAAATGAACAGGAGTGCAAAAATTAGTAATTTCTCTAATAGCAGTGACAATCATGAAGTTAGCCCAAGAAAACAACTGTCTCTCCTCCCTCCTTGCCACTATACCTCAGTGACAAAAATCCCATACAGATGACATAAAATCTGTCTGGAATCTGGTCAGGAGCTCTAATTGGTCACATGTACATGCAGTAGTTAAACTGTATTATAGCTATTTTTATAAAAAAAAAAAAAAAAGAAAAAAACAGACAAATGCGAAAGACAAATAGTCACAATGATGTATGAAAACATGATAAATCCAATACAAAACCGTACATATTCACGGAGGTCGTTCACAGAGAAACACAAATTAAGTTCACCATAATCAACCGGGGAAAACATAAAATCGAACAAATTTACGTTTGGAACCCCAAAACAACCTGATTAATTATGTAAACATTGATTTACGTCATCAGTATGAAATTTCTGTCGCTGAGGCGCAAACATCCCCCTGGTAAGATGTCTCTAGAAGCGAGGAGCAAGATTGCTGTTTTCACAAGCTATCATCTAAAAGTGATCTCTACAATCCTATTGCTTCACATATTTCATGTCACTGACAATCTATACATGAATGAAAAGCTCATTCAGTAGGGGTTTTTGTTGACAAATGAACCTATGGAATCTTTGTATGTATCACCATAAAGTAGTTGTGTACACTAAAGTTAACATGAGAAAACAATTGACATTTTGAAGTGCCACTACTGGTTTCCCTATGAAATTAAGTCTGAGGAACAAACGCAGAAATTCAATACTGATGACATGCTAATATCCAGATTTGGGTATTGCTGATGATTGGTCGTGCCGCAAGGAAAAATTTCTTAAACCAATCAGAAGCACTACCCGGCCATCTTGACTGAACAAGACTGGTTACTGGATTTACTATATTATGACAAAAAGAACACTTGATTCTTGTAGAAACTAAGCCAGAAATCCCAAGTGGACAGGAAGGACAAAAATAACACAGAATTTGTGAACAATTTCTATAATTCTATCTTTTTTACCATTAATAAATTATGTTCACAGCTGTATAAATTTCTTTTATTTGTAGAATATTTTTTAATTAATTTGATTACTGTTTATTTGTGGGCCATTTTCAGTTTCATCAAAGTCAAATGACTCTTCTTTAAATGAAGTCTTTCATTCTTATAATCATTCACTCACACAGTCAGCAATATAATAAAGTAGTTTGATACATAACAAACTTCTATACAATGAAATCCTCTGTATAACAAACGATTTTCTTCACCCCAGTAATAGTAAAATATATGGAGAAGAACCTTGATATAACGAAATATAGCTACAGTGAACAAATTTTGCCAGTCCTTTGGCCCTTTGTTATATCGAGGTTCCACTGTATACAAAATAATTAATGTATACTAAGATCATAGTATACAGAGGAGTATACATTTGTTAATATTGTGTATCAAACTATTTTAAATGATATAAGAAGTGTTCACTACTGCGTGCCACAGTGGTGAAAAACAACTGCTGTATAAACGCATCGAGAAAGTTAATCTTGTGTTTCTTCTTGTTTCAGTTAAAGAACTCTTGCAGTTACATGTACATGATCTCCAATAAAGTTCAAAGTCCGTTATTAAGAACTTTAATAAAATGACATGGAAAGAGTAAAGAGCTTTAATGGAATTAGCAACAAATAAAAGATAAAGAGTTTTCTCAGCAGCGCTCAAAGGTCAATACAATTATCAAGTTGTTGATGAAGGTATGCTTATAACACGTAAATAAGCTAAGATCAATGAGGCCTGACTTGCGTGAAAGTCAACAGTAAGTCTTGAATGACCAGGGAACCAACATCGCACGGTTCTTGCATGCAAACACGTTAGTTGTTAGGCATCAACGCGCTGATTTCATTACTTTGTACCTTCAATTCAGGCCTAGTAATGGTATAGAGCCTGGTAGTATATATACTATCATAACAGCAATTATTACTGTATTTTCCCAGTGATTTATTCATTCGTGTGTAGCAAATTTTCTGCTACATGCAAATGACTAAGCATTTTGCGTACGTGGAGTTGTGCACGCTTTCATCGATCTCTCCTAATTACAGTATAGTTAACACAATTAACCTTACTAACACTTACTTTTCACTTTTCCAAACGTTCCAACACCTAAAGTTTGTCCGAGTATGTAGTTCCCGATGCTCAGTTTCGAGGTCATCGACTGACCGCGATCTCTGTCTTTCTCCTTCGTCGCCATGTTGTTGGGATACGGAGTCACGTGACTATAACTTGGTCTCTTCCTCTTGTTCAGAAACCGAGGCATTGTGGTATACTGGTTGAGAATAATGGCGGCGGTCGCGGAAGGAGTGAAATTAGACTGGAATTTATCCACTGAAGAGATCTTAAAACGAACGGACGAGCTTATCGAGCGTTCTAGGAAAGTTTACAATGCTGTCGGTGCGCTGAGACCTGAGGAACTGACGTACGAAAACTGCTTGAAGGTATAAACGTGTTTACCAACTGCTTTGTCTATCCAATTTTTTATTTCTTCCCGTGGCGCACGAACTGTCCACGTGCTGCAATCTCTTTTGATTCTGTAAGAGTGAGTTTTGAGCACATGAACGGTTGCGTGTTGTTGTTTTGCAAGCCTGACCGCACAAGTGGTTCTTTTGTTGGAATATTTCGCAACGACGTACTAAATATGGGCAAATTTAGTTTTTTTTTTACACATCGTGATCTTCACATCAAACTGCAACTTTGAACTTTTACTTTTGGCTTTGCCCGCGTGATATGAAATTTGACTCCTGCGTTAAAGATGGTAGACTGATATAACTGTGATAGTTGTGTACATACAGGTAGTAATAATCTGCAAATTAAAAGGAATTGTGAAACTATGGTTGTCTTTTGTCTAGGCTTTATCTGATGACACAGCTGAATATCATACTGCAAAATCCAACCTGGATTTTCCTCAGCATGTGTCCACAGGTAAAACAATAAATATATATTATTCATTCAAAATATATCCCCAATTCTGATTGGCTAAAAGCACACGCATAATTAACCATAACCAGTTACTGATGACCAAATCTGGAAGAATTATTTTTGTGTTAAACGAGGAAATGACGTCAAAAATGCAGCCTTCTACAGGTTAATGCACTGTTAACCGAGAAGACCTGGGGACGAGGTTGAGTTGAAATTTTAAAAAATGGCAGACACTTCACTCATATCAAGAGTAAGAACTACAGCTGGAACTAGGCGAAATAATGGCTAAAAACATAGCAAAAACAGCAAGAAGACAACTCGGAGGTCGACATCTGCTATTTGGAGAATATTTGGGGAGCCGGACAAACCTAAACGTACACTATCAAAGATAAACTTAACATCGATGCAGATAAGCATGTTTTAGCTATATTTTTAAACTAGGAATTATTTTGAGGCCTTCGTTAACACCCTCCTCAATCTGCTTAATTCTTCATATCCTACTCAGCCTCATTCATTAATAATTGATCCTATTTAACTTGTATATTTATACCGTAAAATTCCGAAAATAAGCCCCGTGGCTTATACTTTTCAAAGGCCCTTTTTGAGGGGCTTATTTACGGAGGGAAATTTGCGTTTCTAAATTGATTGGGCTAGCGTTATAGTTGGAAGTAAATTTACCGATTTTGCTTTGTTTTACTTTGTATTTGAGGGTAATTTTCCAAGTACAAGCCCCTGGGGGGCTTATATTTGGAGGGGCGATTTAACGGGGGATTTTCTGCGTTACCCGTTTGGGGGGTTTATATTTGGAGGGGCTTATACATGGAGGGGCTTATTTTCGGAATTTTACGGTACCTTAATCTCTCATGCCTTGGGCACAAGTCCCACTCCCACAGATCCAAAACTTCAATTTCACTCCAGCTGTCAAGGGAAGACCACTTTTTCTGGTGGAAACGGTATTAAAAGAATCTGAAAAAAATACAGTTGAACCACCATTAAGACCACCTATTAAGTGGCTAGGGGATGTTCCATCCCCCCCAAGTTTTTTTCTTCAAAGAAGCCGATAAATTTTGACCCTTCACACAATGTTTGAAAAGGGTGCTGACATAAATTGAGGGTTCGGATTGCAGCCATCTTAAGCTGGGAGGGAGGGAGAGAAGGAGTGTGGATAAAAATTGTCCAATTTTGAACCCCTAAATGTCATGTTTCTGTTACAGACATTGCCGTCTTAGTCTAATTATAAAGTTTATGCCCTAGGATATTACGCTATATAATATTGTTTGTGCAAAAATGTTGGGAGAACCTCACCACAACATTTTGAGGAGAATTTGCTTTTTTATCACTGACAATACTCTGATAATTTTTTTCAGTATTAGAGCTGTTTCTTGCAGTGTAAAAGTTATTAAAAGATAAATATCACTGTAAATTATATTTCAGTAAGGCAAATTGAATATATAACAGGATCAATGATCGACAGAAAAAAAAATGCTTTGCTTAAAATAATTACCATCATACCTTAATTGTAACAGGACTTATCTGTTAAAATTACCAATATTATTTTTACTTTAGACAGGGAAATCAGGACTGCAAGTACTGAAGCTGATAGAAAATTGTCTGAATTTGAAGTTGAAGTCAGGTATTGCATTATACATTATAATGCTATAGTCTACTATATTTTGTACCATACAATTTATTATTATTTGCAGGGTGTCCAGTTCCTATTTTTTCCTATTTTTTCCTATTTTTTGAGCCCATTCCTATTTTCTCCTATTTTTAGACTAAAACCTCCTGTTTTTTCCTATTTTTTGGCTGGTGAAGCCAAAATTTGTAACAAAATTGAAAATGGAATTATAGTTGTATGTGTTTTTGAGTGAAATTTATGATAAAGCAAGTAGCATGTTGACTTTGTTGTTCTAATATTAGTAAAAATGACAGTTGCATTTGTTCTTTCCATGACCTCTATTG